ATAAAATAAATTCATGTTATGCAAAATATGCTGATGAATATGCGAATACCGATAGCACACTTTATGTGAGAATTGTATATGACAAACAAAATTCACAAGTGTCATTTCAAACCTACGAAGACAATCCAAATAAAGACGAACAAATATATACAGAATTCACTGCAATGTCATGGTATTATTTGCAAAGAATGTTAAATCAGAAAGTTGAACCTCCTTTAGCAAATATCTACAGTCGATATGCAAGAGATGAACCATATTTATTTAAAGATGTTTTCGACCAAGATGCTGTGATAGTTCATGCTTCATTTTCTGGCGCCCAAAACTCTTTCTTATGCTTGGCAAATGACTTTTACGAAAAACCTACAAAGTTATACGAACCACCAAGTGGAAGTATTTCAGACTTTCAAGTATGGTTTACTACAGATGGAAGAAAAAGAATAATTCCATTATACCATGCGTTTTACTTAGAACTTAGTTTCATATACAACTACTATCGAACGGTAAAAATATAATTTTTTAATATACCGGTTGTGGTTGCCAACTTGACTGTGGTGCAGGTTCAGGCTGTTGTATTACAGGAGCTTGTTCTTCTGGTTCAGGGTCTTTAGGTATAATACCAACAAACTGACCTACTCTTTTACCAATATTTTTGACACCGTTCCATACTCCTCTTCCGACAGATTTTATTCCATTCCATATACCTCTTCCAACATTTCGAAAGAAGTTTCCTATCTTACTGAAGAAACCCATTTTACTATATGTAAAAATCTAATGTCCGCCTAGTCTCTTACGTTTCCTGTTGAGTTCCATAGCATTCTTTAACTGGAGCTCATACATTCTGTTTCTCCTCTGGTAGAAAACATATTCTGGGTCAACTCCTGTGTTCGCGTCATCTGCATAAAGTTGTTTATATCCCACTTCAGGGTTTGTATAAAACTCTTTCCATCTCATATTTGCATACCATGGTGGCAAACCTAACGCAGCGTCATTTGACATGGCAGTTTGCATTTGTACATCTGTTGGCACTTGACCATAGTTTGCCATTGCAGTTTGTATTCTAACTTCATTTGGAATATTCTCTGGGTTTGGTTGTCCAGGTTGCTGTGCATTCGCTAAGTTCTGTGCGTCCATTTAATATTAGATAAAAATATCTCTTACGAGTACATATGCTGAACATTTGCAGGCATTGGTTCATCTTCATATTCTCTGTACTTTTCTGCCACGTCAAATAAATAAATGACACAATGGAAAAAACTTAAAACAAGTAGTCCTATTTCAAACCACATTTACTTACTAATAAAATTTCTTTATTGTGACACTTTCTCCGGTTTATAGGACCTCTCTCATATTCTATCTTGTCATATATAAACTCATAGTCATGTATGTCCTCTAACCATCTCATAACGGTTTCCAAACCACTTTTATCGGATGTAAAGTAAAAGCATGGATGGTTATGTATAACGTCTAAAGTTTCTAAAGAGCCTCTCAAAGTCCAGTCTACTTGGTATTGAAAATCCCATGTGTTATAGAACGGCGGGTCCACTATAAAGAAAACATTTTCCTTGTCTTTATATTTTTCATACAACTCTGTCCAATGACATCTCACAAACTCTATACCCTCAATATATTTTTCTATGTCCTCTTTGAAAACATTTGTATAGTTAAGATATAAAACTTTTGACATAAGTGTTTCAATGTCATGAACTCTTATAGCACCACTATATAATAGTCTAGCAGATATACTATCCCAGTCTATATATTCTGCTTTTTTCAAAACCTCTCTCACAATATTTTTCTTATCTAATGGTATACGTTCCATCTTACCTATAGGTATCTTTTCTTTTAACTCTTTCAATATATTGTTTGTGTCTGGTATATGTTTGAGACGGTCCATATAGTTGTCGAAATCATTGCATATAATCTTTGAGTCAGGAAATACGGTATGACATAAATGGGATATATAGAAACTTCCACCGAACAAATCTACAAATGTTAGACCATTCGGTAGTTTCTTAAGTTCTCTCAATATAATATCTTTACATCTACTCTTATTTCCAAAGAACGGTAACGGCGGTTTTGTAAAATTCATTTATATATAATAATAAAAATGTTTTTACCCGAAAAGTGATAGAAAAGTGACAAACATGAAAACATATATAATTTATGAAAAGTGACACAAAAAGTGATATTTAAAAAGTGACACCATTAATATGATGTAAATAACAACGGTTTTGGTTTTGTCACCGGCTGGTCGGCTGGGGTTCGGTCCTCCTCTTGGGTCTTGGGCAAAATTTCTTATGGGCTAGAGGGCGCAACGCGCCTGGAAGCCCTCCGAATAAAAACTTCATTTATACTAAACATCTTCGGGGCTAGAGGGCGCAACGCGCCTGGAAGCCCCACTACCTTTTTTTGCTTCTTATATGCTTTCTTGAAAAAGAATATTTAATAATTTGATGATCTCTAAAATATATATTTCCAGTCAATATATCAGGATATTATTCTTGTATTTCATAATTTTTATGATTGTTAATGGCTTTCCTCTATCTGTAATTGTTGTGTATGGTTAATCATTATTAATCTTTAAATCCTGAATTGAGTTTCTCAAGATTTAGTATCCTATATCACTTATCTATGTAATATCTTTTCAACTACAACTTATTATGTCGGTATTGATAAACCATAAACAATACTACAGATCGATTTCATTAACACAATCATATTTACTGAAATGCGTATAGAAACTAGTTTTGTATGTCTAATCAATACTAAAAGCTATATGTTTAAAGATGTTTTGACAATGGATAAATAATTTAATTTTCCATCATGTAAACTGTAATGCATGAAAAATAGCGTGACTTCATTTTTGACAGTTTACAAATGTAAAGTGTTGCATCCTTAAAAACTTGGAAATATATACATTCATGAATTATCTTGTATATTAATTGAAAATCCATAAAACCCTAACAATATTTTTTCTTAAAAAAAAACTATAAAAATATAAATAAAATTAATCGTTAAATAAAAATATTTGATATTAGAATTTTATTGAAAAAATAAAAAACTTAATATTTTAAAGAAATACTTAAATACTTGAATGTTTTAACTTTTACATTATCATATAGACTCTCAAATTATTAGCCATTTTGGCTGAGAACTATGGTCTGCGAGGTACATAGATAGAATCAGTACCTCGCAGACTATAGTTCTCTATATGGCGCCGAAATTTTTGGTGAAATGTCGTCGCATTTCACCAAAAATTTTTCGGCCCCATAGGAAGAATTGGAGGGTGTGAGATACTATTACATGCTATAGTACTCACACCCTCCAACTCTCAATCAAAATCGCATAAAATTTGCTACTTATCTTCAGATTACCTCCCATTATAAAATATATCATTGCTATCTCATTGTACTATATTTCCACCTATTGTATTTAAAAATATATAATTTTTTGATAATATATTTTTTATATCTTGAATTTTCAAACAATATATTCACAGATAATATAATGGGAAATCTATCTCAACCTAGCCTTAAAGTACCAAACTCCTGCTTGCATTCTCACTCACAATATTAAACATCCTCTCCAAAAAACTAAATTCTTCACAATTTTTTTAAAATTGAGAACATAAAAAACGTATGCATTTAATAATTTAAGATACTAACAAATATTAAAAACTTCAAAATATCAGATAATAACGTTTTTCAATTAAAAAAAATATCATTTTGCTTTTCAATTCGAACATAAATCTTAAATATTTTAATTAATATCTGATTTACAGCATTATTATCCATTAATAAATCTGACAATAAATGACAAAACATCATAAATAGCGTCACTTTTTGTCAAAATGAAGTCACGCTATTTTTCATGCACAACATAAACCTCGATGTCACTTTTGCGGCCGAGCGGAGCGAGCCGCAAAAGTGACATCGAGGTTTACATGGATGGGTTCTATATATATACAGCTTGACCGGTAGAAAAGCGGATCGATTTTTATCAATAATTGGACATTCTATTTTTAATAAAATAAACATATATTTATATGGGAAATTAGGGAGAGCTGAAACTCAAAAATTATTTTTGAATTTTAATATGATAACTATAATTATGATGAGGGGGGCACAAACTTGCCCAGTGAGGTGAAGTGAAAAGTGACGGGTTTACATGTCAGAAATGTAAAGTGTTAGATTTGAAACAAAAAATGGATTAATTTATTATTATATGATAGAGAGATTTGGTAAGTTACTATCAAATTTGTAAGTAAGGGAAAAAAGTAAGAAAGAAAAAAATTTTAAAAAATAAAAAGCCACTCGCTTCGCTCGCGGTTGACAAAAAGAACAAATTCGAAAAAAGATTGTATGAAATTACGAAACTAAGCCGCTCGCTTCGCTCGCGGCTTAAGTAAACAACATATTTCAGATTATCGATACTAAAATTTTTTATTTTATTACATTTTTTTGCATTTTTTTAAAAAGCTTCTTAACTTAAATCATGGAATTCTCAAAGACAAAAGTAGCATACAGCATGAAAGCTAAAGAAAGATAATCATAATTAATACCTTTAAAGTTTAAAATCTTGATTTTTTTTAAAATCAAATATTTATAACTTTAATACATACAGCTTAAACCTTATACTTGTTTTCTCTTGTGAGAAAGCAATCTTACAAAGCTAACAATCCTAAAAAATAAAGAATTAAAATTTAATAATTTAATCTAAAATTAAAATCAAAATTAAATAAAATGAGTTCTTTGTAATAATACTTTCAAGGTAGGATATATTTTAGTGGGATCTATTGAGTCATCACTAACAGCATTGAGCAATCTATTGAGCATTGAAATACTCTCGATTTTTCTTTGTCTTTTTACATCAATTTCTGCGTTAGTTGCTTTTTCCATGATCCTAATGACACGGTCATCTGCTGGATTTTGATCAATTTTGAGTTTGATAACGAAAGATGGTATCACTTTTGTATAAATTTCTATAATAACATCATCAATTCTGAGATTTTTTCGATCAGGAAAATAGTCATGTTTGAGTGTTCTAAAATGAGCTTCGGCAATATTGTTAGTTGCGTCGCCTTCACGCCTGTCACGAGCAATCCATCTTGATATGTTGTAACGCCATTGTCTGTTAAAGTATTGAGATGCTGTTGGATCTGTGTCGAGCAACTCCAGAACTTGATCATAGGCAGCATTTGCTTCTTCCTCATGTTCTGCATCTAATTTGAAGACTAAATCCTTCATCAAATTATAGAATTGTTCAAATTTTTCTTGAGAAGAAAACTTATTTGATTTGCGAAGAATTGCACGAAGAACATGTACTCCGCACCAAAGTATTTGAGCTTGTGGAATGCTTTCTTCTATTGCTTGAGCTATCTGTGGAGCACAGTCCATGCTAATGTATTCTGGCTCAATTGTTACCCATCTGAGATAGGCGCACACGCAAACTTGAATGTTTTGATAAGTGTCTGGTTGACAAAAGAAATATAAAAAAGGGAAAATGTGAAAATCTTTGATTTTGCCAGTAAATGCATACAATGGAATGTTTGATCGCAACAATTTATAGGTGCTGTCTATATGAAATGTCTTGATACTATGCGCATAAGCTTTGCCTTCAAAAGGCGCGTAATAGAAACACATATTATTGTCTGAGACTTCAAATGCAATGAGATCATCTGGAGATTCTTCTTGTACTGTCTGAACAAAGATTTGCAATGACACAACATCGTCAGGAGAATATCTAGTTTGAAGAGCATGTATTCTCTCTGCAAATCGTTTGATTGCACGTGGTTTTTGAGCGTACATCTCTGGAATGGACGGACCTGTAAGAGGAATTTCAAGATCTTTGAATGCATTTAGCTGTGCTATCGCTCTTTGATTGTCATCTGTTTGGAAGTAATGTTCTAAATATTTGCGATAAAAGACAGACGAATATTGACTTTTGTCATTTGGGGCGGAATGATCATGTTCTTCAACTATTTTGATTAGTTTGTATTTATTTTGATCCAAGATTGCAACATTAAAATGTGCAGGACATTTTGGATATTTGCAGTGGAATGAAATCTGAGATCTTTCTTTCCTGACACGTTCACCATATCCATACTGTGCTTGTATTTCTTGTTTAACTCCAAATTTACAAAGATCCATAACAGTAAAGATAGTTTCTTCTTCTAATTCCATTTGAAATTGAAATGAAAATTAAAAATTCAGAAATTTGAATAGATTTGGTCTGTAATTAAATGAGAATAGCAGTTTGTTCGTCATTGTTTGAGGCAAGAGTATTATAGGAATATTATATGATGGATTTGAGTTGCATATAAAGAGTGCAAAAGGATAAAGAGAGAAATTTTGTTAGATTAAATTATTAAATTTTAATTCTTTATTTTTTAGGATTGTTAGCTTTGTAAGATTGCTTTCTCACAAGAGAAAACAAGTATAAGGTTTAAGCTGTATGTATTAAAGTTATAAATATTTGATTTTAAAAAAAATCAAGATTTTAAACTTTAAAGGTATTAATTATGATTATCTTTCTTTAGCTTTGCATGCTGTATGCTACTTTTGGAAACTGCTCTATTGTATTAGAATGTTTTTAAATTTTGCACCTAAAAATGCGTAATATTAAAAATTAAGGTATTAATTATGATTATCTTTCTTTAGCTTTACATGCTGTATGCTACTTTTGGAAGCTGCTCTATTGTATTAGAATGTTTTTAAATTTTGCACCTAAAAATGCGTAATATTAAAAATTAAGGTATTAATTATGATTATCTTTCTTTAGCTTTACATGCTGTATGCTACTTTTGTCTTTGAGACATTCCATGATTTAAGTTAAGAAGCTTTAAAAAAAATGCAAAAAAAAATTGAATACTTTACTGGCTGGGCAAATTTGTCGCCGCCCCAATTATGATCATATATACATTGCAAATAAAATATTAATTCGCAACAACGATGAGATGCGATAAATTTGATTCTCTCAAAAATCGATTTTGATATTTTAATATTAATTTATATCTTATGTGCATATAGAATATATAATAATTTTAAAACATCAAAAAGTGACAATTTGCGGTTAGAAAAATCATCAAAACGCTTTTTAATGATTTGATTTAACATATGCATAGACCATCACTTTGATATTTAACTTCAATTTCCCGAAATGAAAAGGATTTGAACATAAACGATTATTTTACGATCATTTTTTGTAAATTTTTTAAATTGAGACTGACATCTCTAAAATCATCTAAAAAATCCAAACATCAAATAAAATAATATCATTAAAATTCCTCTCAATTTAAAAATTTTTATAAATTGAGAATTCAATCTCTAAAATCTTCTAAAAATTCCATATATCACAAAAAATCACGATATTATTTTTATTCTCAATTTCAAAAATTTTTTTTTCTTGACTTTCTTTTTGCATATTTGCAAGGCAGAAATTTGAAACGAAGTTTCAAATTTCTCAAGCTTGCATTCTGGGCACGTAAGTGCCCAGAATGCTAAAAGGCGCGTAGCGCCGTCTCTGAATATCAAATTTAATTTAATAATTATTTTATTAAATTTCACTATAAATCGATCTGTTATAACACACTGGTGCATGACAGCCTTGTCAGTCAATTCTATCGGCGCAAAGCGCCGATAGAATTAAGACGGTATATATATAGAGGACAACACCCACACTTTTACATTATGAATTTACAGTAAATTAGCATCCTATATTTGTATTTTTTATGACTTAATTTTGATAGTTTTCGTTCAGAAATTTTAATCATATTTTAAGTAAGCAAATAGTAGTATTCTTCATTATTTGGTTGGAGCTTTGCGCCAACTAAATAGTGAATAATTCAATTTTTCAAAAAAATAATTTAATTTGGCCGAAGGTGGCGTGCTTGCCCGAAGGGCAAGCGAAACCACCTGAGGCCCAAATTATATTTGATCAAATATACCTCTTTGCACTGCAGATCAATCACATGATATGCTTGTGGACCTACCTTTCGGTAAAAATGAAAAAAAAAAAAAAAAAAAAAAAAAGGGAGTGGGGCTTCCAGGCACTTCGTGCCTTCTAGCCCTGAGGATGAATGAGTATAAATGAAGTCTTGACAAAACATTTATGAAGAAGTCTTAACAAAGTCTTTACGAAGAAGTCTTAACAAAACATTTACGAAGAAGTCTTGACAAAGTCTTTATGAAGAAGTCTTGACAAAATATTTACGAAGAAGTCTTAACAAAACATTTACGAAGAAGTCTTAACAAAACATTTACGAAGAAATCTTGACAAAACATTTACGAAGAAGTCTTGACAAAGTCTTTACGAAGAAGTCTTGACAAAGTCTTTATGAAGAAGTCTTGACAAAACATTTACGAAAATCTTGACAAAGTCTTTATGAAGAAGTCTTGACAAAACATTTATGAAGAAATCTCAACAAAGTCTTTACGAAGAAATCTTAACAAAACATAGACAAGAAAGTTCATGAGTGTAAATGACCCAAAAATATATTTTAGGGTAGAAGGGTATATCTACCCTCTTTTCTACCCTCTTTTCTACCCTCTTGAATTTTCATGAAATTTACACCAAAAATATACTACTAGGGTCATTTACGAAGAAATCTCAACAAAGTCTTTACGATGAAATCTCAACAAAGTCTTTACGATGAAATCTCAACAAAGTCTTTACGAAGAAGTCTTAACAAAGTCTTTACGATGAAATCTCAACAAAGTCTTTACGAAGAAGTCTTAACAAAGTCTTTACGAAGAAATTCATGAAAATTCAAGAGGGTAGAAAAGAGGGTAGAAAAGAGGGTAGATATACCCTTCTACCCTAAAATATATTTTTGGGTCATTTACACTCATTTACGAAGAAGTCTTAACAAAGTCTTTACGAAGAAGTCATAACAAAGAAATTTTACTAGTAAGTAAATGTGGTTTGAAATAGGACTACTTGTTTTAGGTTTTTTCCATTGTGTCATTTATTTATTTGACGTGGCAGAAAAGTACAGAGAATATGAAGATGAACCAATGCCTGCAAATGTTCAGTATATGTACTCGTAAGAGATATTTTTATCTAATATTAAATGGACGCACAGAACTTAGCGAATGCACAGCAACCTGGACAACCAAACCCAGAGAATATTCCAAATGAAGTTAGAATACAAACTGCAATGGCAAACTATGGTCAAGTGCCAACAGATGTACAAATGCAAACTGCCATGTCAAATGACGCTGCGTTAGGTTTGCCACCATGGTATGCAAATATGAGATGGAAAGAGTTTTATACAAACCCTGAAGTGGGATATAAACAACTTTATGCAGATGACGCGAACACAGGAGTTGACCCAGAATATGTTTTCTACCAGAGGAGAAACAGAATGTATGAGCTCCAGTTAAAGAATGATATGGAACTCAACAGGAAACGTAAGAGACTAGGTGGACATTAGATTTTACATATAGTAAAATGGGTTTCTTCAGTAGTATTGGAAACTTCTTCAGAAGAGTTGGAAGAGGTATATGGAATGGAATAAAAACCGTAGGAAGAGGAATTTGGAACGGAGTCAAAAATATTGGTAAAAGAGTAGGTCAGTTCGTTGGTATTATACCTAAAGACCCTGAACCAGAAGAACAAGCTCCTGTTATACAACAGCCTGAACCTGCACCACAGTCTAGTTGGCAACCAAATCCAACACCTCAACCGTATTAAAAAATTATATTTTTACCGTTCGATAGTAGTTGTATATGAAACTAAGTTCTAAGTAAAACGCGTGGTATAATGGAATTATTCTCTTTCTTCCATCTGTAGTAAACCATACTTGAAAGTCTGAAATACTTCCACTTGGTGGTTCGTATAGCTTGTAGGTTTTTCGTAAAAGTCATTTGCCAAGCATAAAAAAGAGTTTTGTGCACCAGAAAATGAAGCATGAACTATAATAGCATCTTGGTCGAAAACATTTTCATATGTTCCATTAGGGTTTTCGACTTCATAATAGTCCGGTGTACTGGATACCATGCAGGCTGATTTAACATCCTCATAAATCTATGCCATGCCAAGTTGTTATATTTTGTAGAAATATAAACGTTTTCTCCAAGGTCTTCTATTTTATTGATTTTAACAGTTGCATTTTTCCTGTCATATATAATATCGAGATGGTACTCTCCTTCGTCAATGTTGTACTGTTTTGCATATTCGATATAGATATCGTTTATTTTTTCTTGAAAAGCTTGAAGAGTTGTTTCTAAGTTTACAAGCAAATTCACTTGTAAAAGTTTTCCCTGTTCAAATTTCTCATACGTACGTTTTTCTTTGTTATAGTATCGAACTTCAAAAGCGACCGTAAATGGGAAACCATGTATGGCTTCTGAAATGAACTTCATTCTACGAAAGCCAATAGCTTTTGTGACGGATGGGTCTCTTAACCATCTCAATGGGTAGTCAAAACGATAGCCTTCATGCTTTACGGTCTCTGTCTCAAACTTTTGACCTACGTTAGTAAAAAGTTCATCTAATGGTTTAGTTGTAGCAACTCTTGAATTTTCTTTTTCTATTGAAAGCATATTTTATCTAGAATAAAAATGTCGAAAGAAACAGCGTCTATGAGAGAAATACAACACAACCGACAACTCATTATGCAAGCTCTAAATAAGAACACAACAAACTTTTCAAACTATTCTAAGATATCTGAGTCATTGAAAGAAGGAAACTTAAAACTGACGATAAACCCAATGACAGACGAGTTTCTGTTTCAAGACAATAAGAACCATACTGTCTGTGTAAATCCAACAAAAGGAACTTTAAACGAGAAACCTATAAAAGAACTTCTTTTGAAAGCAGATGTTGACAACAAAGCTGACAAAGAGTATGTCATTGAAAAAGTTCAAGAAGAACATGACAGAGCAGATGCAACATATGCAACAAAAGAGGATGTTGAAAAGAAAGCAGATAAAACATATGTTAACGATGAGTTAGCATGTGTGGCTAGTGCATTAGATAAGAAGGCAGATAAGGAATATGTGGATGAAAAAGACAATGAAATTAAAGAAAGGGTTGAATGGTACCATGAACGGACTTCAAAGATTTTAAAAACTAAAGCCGATACAGGATGGGTTTCAGGGTGTTTAGACCTTAAAGCCGACAAAGAAACTGTAGATATGTTGACACAAACGTTTCAAGTCATACCAGAGGTTTAATGGAAGATGGACAACAGTTGAAAGAGCTTGAGAAAGGTGTTACAGAGTTAAGGAATACAAAAGCAGACTCGACATGGATAAAAGGATATGTAGATGCAACAAAAGAACGTATTTTCGCATGGACAGAAGGAACATACCCACAAAAATATCATAGACATAGCATCTCTGACGTAAATGAACTTGAAGAAAAGTTATATAAAAAAGCAGACAAAACAGAGCTTCAAACATTAAAGACAGAAATACTTCAAACAGTATATCCTATAGGTTCTATTTATACGTCAATGAACTCTACCAGACCAGAAGTAGTACTTGGTTTTGGAACTTGGACTCAAATAGTCGACAGGTTTTTGTATTGTGCAAACTCTTCAAAGGAAACAGGTGGAAGTAAAACGATTTCAGGTGAAAATTTACCTGCACACAGTCACTACATAGATTTAAGTACATCTCAAGCAGGTTGGCATAAGCATAGATATTGGGATTGGTCAGGAATGACAAAAGGTAAAGGATATGATGTTAAAGACAACGTTAAGTTTGCTATAAATTGTTACTGGAGTGACACTCAGGGAGATGGAAACCATACACATAACGTTTCAGGATATACGCAAACAACGGGACAAAGTAAAGACTACATGCCACCTTACATGACAGTTTACGCATGGTATAGAAATGCTTAGTCGTCATTTTCAACTTCTTTAGCATATTCGTCAGGAGTTGTCTTATATTTGTTAGGAACTGTCTTTGAAAGTATACCACCTTGAACTTTGACAAGTTTGAAACGAGGTCTGACAATAGTAGTTTTATCTTCTGCTTGCAGTCTGTACATTTTGCCATGTTTGCCTAAAACTTCATAATATTCTCTTGTATACTTTCTTCTATTTTTACGAACACGAATGTGAGTACCTGTCGAGTTCCCATTGTTGTCATAGTCAATAGTATTTTCATATGGGTCGCGTTTAGGTATTTCTATTTTTACTTTGTCACCTTTCTTAAGTTTGAAGCCTGGCATTCTTTCTTGTTTGTCTCTTTTGACTAAACTATTAAATATATAGTCTTTCTCTAAGTCAGGGTTGTTTTTCATTTCTTCAGGGGAATGGTTTCCCAAACCTTTTGTTTACGGCTATTGTAAATATTTAAAACTTGTCTCATCTTTGCCATGGAGAAGTGTCTGTACTTGTCGTCATATGACATTTCATCTACCTCACCACCTTGTGGTTGGTTTAAGTCTCTTAAGATTTTTATACAACTGTCAATGACACCAAGAGCAGAATGGTTTGGTCGACAATGAAATATTGGTTTACATTTTTTGAACGCAGATAGTTTTTAATATCGTCTGATTTGAAAGAACTTTCACAGTCAGATGTCAGTTTTGTTGGATGGTATTTGTCAACGAATATTGTCAAAGCAGTTTTCACATCTAAAATATTTTTGGACCATAATGGTATGGCTTCACAGTATCTTGTGTTTTGACCGACAAATATTAGCCAGTATGGAGGTCCATCTTCTCTATACCTCGGAATGTTTTCCAAGATATCCATAAACCAAGCATTTGGTGTTGAACTAAAGATTTTTATCATGAGTGCTTTCTTTGTTGCTTTAGAAACATAGGGGTCCTTGTTTGGATTCGTCATTTTTTACCCTATAAGAAATGGGTTTATTTGGCGCATTAGCAGGAGTTGCATCCAGATTTTTGCCCGCAGTGGGAACAATAGCCAGAGGTGTATTTGGAGTTGGAAGGAAGATTTTGAGTACATTAGGTATACTTAAAGAGAAAGCACAACCTATTATACAAACTGTACAGAAAGGTTGGGAGGTAGCACGAGATGCAGCAAATCTTATTCCAAATCCTGAAACAAGAGGAAAAGTTCAAGGATGGATGGACAATGTAGGAAGAGAAGCAGGAAACTACTATAACAAAGCAAATGACTACTATAACCAAGCAGGGCACTATATGGACCAAGGTGAAAGATTCTTTAACAGAGGATATAACCATGCACAACAGTGGGTAAACAACAACCAACCTCAACCGCCTCAAACGTGGGGAATGTAAATTTTTTTACTGAGATGAAATGAACAATACAGCATTGAGACAAATGGGCTCAAGATGGATTTGTCGGCTTCCAGCAGTTACACAACCACGTGTTTGTCAAGTTCTTCCTATACCTCAGGAAGTTTTAGACCGACTTAAAAAACCTAAACAACCAGTTGAAAACAAACCAAACTAAAATTTTTTACTGAGATGAAATGACCGAAGAAGTTGAAACGGTAGATTTGACACCACAAACAAAAAGTTCAGAACCATTGTCAAAACCTGTCAAAGAACTTACAGATGAAGAGAAAAATTCAATAATAGAAAGTGCCAGGTCTGGAAATACAAACCCTAACTACAAAGTCACTTTTCATAGAAATGGAACGGCAAGTATCTCAAAAAAGAAACAGACTCTCACAAATAAAATATTGAAGTCTGAAGGAGCTTTCGAGACAACAGATGGAAAAGTTTACTTCACTGACCAACAGTTCATTATAGAACATCTCATTGACTTAGAGTCGAAATATTCTAAACTTTACAACAAACACAAAAAGTTGAAAGGAAAACAAAAACAAATGGCATATGATATTTATGAAGATGTTGACGACACAACCATACCTGCAAGTGAGGTAAAGTCAGAGGAACCGAAAAGTGACGAAAAACCGATAGAAGAAGAAAAACCAAAAACTGAAGATAAACCAAAACCAAAGTTTAGTCTGGAGACTAAACCAACTCAACCTTCATTAGCTGGTATGGGTTGGCGTCAAAGACTTATGGCAGCCGGTGGTTATGTTAAGTAAAGAAAAAAACATTTTTTTATTTTTATAAAAATGCCCCCATATAGAATGGATAGAAAGTCTGCTAGAATAAAAGCAGAGTTGCAAAGATATGGTTGGAGAGTTTCGAAGAAGTTTAAATATAGGAAGGGAAAGCCAATAAAAGTCTATGACAAATTGTCTGGTCTTCGCTACGAAATGGATTTGGAAACAGCACGTGCAAATTATCCAAACAGACTAGAGAGGTTAGAAGAAGAACGTCTTATGGACATGCCTTTCGATGTTAGTGAACCTCAAGTTGAAGGACACGACGGCTTTGCCAGATTCTACTGGAAACATGACGAACAATTGCATCCTTTGAGAAGGAAAAAAGGAAAAGGTGAAGACGCACATGCTCCAATGGAAAGAACAAGATATGCATATGAAAAGTATCGTGAAGTTAGAAGTAAAATTACATCTGGTCGAACCTTTACAGTAAATTTTGAAGAAGGAAAGAACAAAGAAGGCTTCATGGGTGTACTTGCTGCCATACAAGACGGAAATAAGAAAGGATACAATCTCAGACTAACCATAACAGATTTAGATGGTCATATATACTATGCACATGGCAATGTCACAACAGCCGCACAACTTCTTGACGCTTTCAAGACTACAAAGAGAGAACAAATGTTTGACTCCGACTCAGACATTTTGAATGCAATTGAAGGAATTGCAAGTGTCAAGCTCGAATGGTACCAACCTAACCGTCAAGCAGTCAGACAACATGTTTGTTAGATGAGAAATATGAAATGGCATACCATTTAAAATAAAACATTTTTTAAAACAGTATATTTTTACATATATTAAATGTTTCAGGTTGAAAAACAAAGAACAAAAGTAGCAGATACAAAACCGTTAGACTATATCTTTACAAATGCCGGTAGGACTATATCAGATGAAGAAATTTCATCCGGTGCTTACAGGTTTGACTTTCCAATTCGTTGGCTTCAAAGTCCTTCAGATGCAAAGGCAATAGGATTTAGAAAAGTTTTGTTTTCAAAAAGAACTAACGCGTTTATGTTTGCGGTATATTTTCATGGGCAGTATAGAGGTCATGATGGTCTAATAGACAAATTTGATGAAATGAGAATCTTTACAGTTCGTTCAGACGAAAGTCTTGAGAAGACTCTAAATGACTTTCAAACTCAAATGAACAAATACTATTGGGAATTTCAAGAAAAATACGACTCTTTACTAAATGGAACATACTATCTGAAACTAGAATATGACAAGATGAACTCCACCGTTTCATTTCAAAAGATTGAAATTAACCCTCCAAGAGATACACAGTTTTTATTTTGGCAAGTAGACAAACGTTCTTGGGCACAATTTCTTCGGTTACTAAACCAGAACGAACCATTACCACCTGACGGTCCGTTCTGGTTTATACGCCCACCAGCAGATTTGACAGTTTATAGAAACGTGTTTGACCCTCAAAATGTTATGTGTCATGCAAGTTTCAGTTCAAGCAACAATAGTTTTCTATGTATTGGTAAGGACTTTTATGACTTTGCTTCTAAATTCTATGAACCACCTAGTAACAGTTTCTCTGACTTTCAAGTTTGGTTCACAACAAATGTGTGCAACATATTGTTCCATTGTACTACGACTTTTATCTCGAATTGTCTTTCATATATAACTACGGAGAAGTGCTGAAAAAGTATTGAAAAATATATTTTAGGGTAGAAGGGTATATCTACCCCGTTTTCTACCCTCTTTTCTACCCTCTTGAATTTTCATGAATTTCCTTAAGATAGAAAAAAAGTGAGTTAAAATGAGATGTTTACTGAACTGGTTGGATGTCGCCTTCTAAGGTTATGTAGAACGGCTGACCCGAGAAGTGGAACAGTGCTCTGAGAATTTGTATAATTCGTGGAATTGGACTCTCTCTGTTTGGAAGTTGTATCCATGGGCGCTTTGCAAAGAACTTGAGAAGAGCTTCTTTCTTCATCTCCTTTATGTCGTCTACAGGAGTTTTTCTGGTATTTGAATTGGAATTCCAGTCGAAATCTCGATTTTCAGCGCACCTCTTCCAGACAACCAGACGCCGAGGGACTTGTTGGCTTTGTCCTTGCCCAAATACTGCTTAACAACTTCATTTATCTCTATAAGGTAAATTGCCTCATCTAATGGCTCGATGCTGTCCATTGTTCTGTTTCAGAACTAGTCTTGTACTGTTTCAGAACTAGTCTTGTACTTTTTCAGAACTAGTCTTGTACTTTTTCAGAACAAATTTCCCGTAAAAGCTCTCAATTTGAGAGAAAAATTTTCTGTTTCAGAACAATATTTGTTCTGTTTCAGAACAATATTTGTACTGTTTCAGAACAAGACTTGTACTGTTTCAGAACAATATTTGTACTGTTTCAGAACAAGACTTGTACTGTTTCAGAACAATGTCCGACGTACCACCAAAAAATATATTTTAGGGTAGAAGGGTATATCTACCCCGTTTTCTACCCTCTTTTCTACCCTCGTAGAAAACACACAAAACTCTTGAACTTTGTATAAAAAAAGCAACCCGCCGTTTTCCGCGGGTTGGTATATTCTTCACAAAATGCTTGTTTTGAGGTCGAGCCATTTTTGGCTCCACCGTATTTTAAACCAAACTCGTTCATTTTGTGCTGAAATAAAATAAAGGTAGTCCCACCAAAAATATTTTTTTATTTTTATTGTAAGAACATGTCAGCAACAACAGCACCAAACTCGTTAGTCATGAACCCAACTTCTATGTTAGTAGAGATGAAAAGCTTCATTCCTTCTTCATATACTTTCGAAACAGAAATCCAGAAGATAAAGCAAGAACTTCTCCAAGGAGATTTAGACTGTAGTGCGAAAGATGAAACAAATGAACAGTATCTTTATGAAATGCAGGATATTATTGACCATCTACCTAAACTTCCTGAAATACAACAACAAAAGCTCACTATTCCAGAATTCGATGAAATAGAAGTGAAACCATCTGACTCAGTTGAAATAAAGAAGTTCATACGTAATGTAAACTATGAGTTTCTTGGATTTCATTACAACCACAAAGACTGCGATATGGTATATTTCATTGACATATATAAATCTGAAGAATTTAAGACCTACGACAACTTTGTTTCGTTAGTTGCTGAGTGTGTCTTGCAGATAAGAGATAAAGATAGAAGAGGTAAGGTATGGAACCAACAGATAAAACCAGCAGCCTTTGAGTTAAAGAAGACCATCTACGCCTTACTTGTTTTAGCAGGACAAATTTCAGAATATAACGCAAAAATGAACTCACAATGTTCAAAATGTAAAGCAGCAACAAGGAAATATAACTACTCCGTCAAAGAGATAGAAAGAATGAGAAAAGACCATACTGACTTAAAGAAAGAAGTAGAGAAACCAGCAGAAGATAAAATGGACATGTTGACATTTCTGAACAAAAACTATCCAACTGCTAACGATTTCCTTCTTTCAGATGTCAAGAAGAAATATAAAGAAACCTTCGGCATAGTTTTAAAATTTTTGATATCCTTCGTGAAGAAATAGAAGCTACAAAACTGTTTAAAGTCATGAACCATCACAACATATACCATGTAAAACGCTTGTAAATAGTTATGGTAGAAATGAGGGTAGAAAACGGGGTAGATATACCCTTCTACCCTAAAATATATTTTTATTGAATTCTGTATAAAATTCTGAGTAAAATTCTGAGTAAAATGACATATGGAACACATACTTTTTCAGTAAGGACATATGGGGTAGAAATGAGGGTAGAAAACGGGGTAGATATACCCTTCTACCCTAAAATATATTTTTGTCTGATTTACGCTCATTACGAAGAAGTCTTGACAAAACATTTACGAAGAAGTATATTTCCTGTGTTGTTGTCAAAATGTCATGTTGTCACACTTTTTCAGAGAAGTTCATTTAACCGAGTGACCTGGTCGCCTAAAATATATTTTATTGAATTCTGAGTAAAATGACCAAATTTCATGAATTTCCTTAAGATAGAAAATAAAAGCTAGTTTTTTTAAAATATTTTTTTTTATTTTGTATGTAAGAACAGGAAATGTCAAACACTGAGTTTGAAACAGTTAGAAAGATAGACAATGACACCAAAATGGTTAGAATTGGTGATTTAAACGTAAGATACTCAAAGAAATACAACAAATATTCTTTGTCAGACATTATATCTCCATCTGGAAAGAAAACAAACGACTGGGTTAAAATTGCTTCAACTCAGAAAATTTTGACAAGAAATCCTGAGCTTATGATATCGGTAAGATTTCATGGAACTACAGCATATCTTATAGACAAAAGTCTTATACCACTAGTTTTGTTCTGGATTGACCCAGTTGTTGGATATAATTTCATAACATATGGTTCATTCGATACGGAACGTTGCAGTGAAGGCTTACTTTACATCGTTCAGAAACCGAAAGACTTCAATACAAAGAGATATAAGATAGGAAGAACATATAATATAACTCAAAGATATGACTCTACAGTCAATAGAGTTAAGGTTGTGTTTGTTAACGATATGAGAGCTGCTGAAACAGAACTACTTGAAAAGTTTGAGAAAATGTATGGTGCTCCCACGAAAGGTAAAGAAACGTTTGAAGTAGATGAGATAGATAAAGCTATAAAATTATTTGACGAAGTTGCTGAAAAATACATGTAAAGCGTTTATTTTTGGTCTTTTATACAAGATAGAAAATAAAGTTAGTTTTATTTTTTTTTATTTTTTTATTTTGTATGTAAAGACAGATATGTCAACAACAGAGAACACAACAACAGTTATAGTCCATGAAGCTATAAATGAAGAATATGAGTGGGTTCAGTTTAACAAACAACTCCGTCTCATTCGTTCGGTCAAAGACGATATGTACCAAATGCAAAGTATTTTGACAGCATGTTTTGCTCCAGATACTAAGCTTCCTAAAGACTGGTTTAGGAACCAAAGCACACAAGAACTTTTGAGCGAAGCACAGCGAGACATACTTTTTTCTGAAAACAGTGAAGAACAGCGAGTAGGGAAGAAACCCCAGTCGCCAAAACTCTATGAAAATCGTGAAAAATTGCCAAATGGTTTGAGAGGATATTATGTACATAGACTTCTTGTAAATGCTGTTGCAATGTGGGCTTCAGCTCGCTATTCATGGTATGTTTGTAAACTTCTTGACGAAATTCATAGACAAGAACGTGAAGAGCTAGAGAACAAGCTTGAAGCAAAAGACAAAAACATACAGAAAAGAATACCACGTTCGGTACCAAAAGGAAAGGAAAAGAACTATAAGTATATGATTTATACTGAAGAGATGGAAAATGAAGAAGACAGAGATATGGTTATGTTGCATTTAGTCAGAAGAAACAACAAAAGCTTTTACGACCTTGCTAAGATTTACAAATCTGACAGAAATTGGTTCTATCGCGAAAACTTACCGATTTCAATGACCCCGAATGAAGATGTGAAACAAATAGTTCAAGATACGTTACCTCAAACACACTATGATATGAAAGGTTGTACAATACTTACCTTCAAAGAAGATTTGCCATTGTTAAAGGAAAAAATAACAGAGTATTTTGACAACTTCAAACAAGCAGAGTAGATGAACCATTTATTTTTCAAGCTTGACACCAAAGATGGCTCAGGTAGCTCTATAAGGTAAATTGGCTTGTCAAATCCTTCCGACAGGAAGAACTCTTCCATCCGACAGAAAAATATTTTCCCGACAACAGGAAGAACTCTTGCATCCGACAGGAAGAACTCTTGCATCCGACAGAAAAAGTTTTTCCCGACAACTGGAAGAACTCTTCCATCCGACAGGAAAAATTTTTCTTGTTGTTCGTCCGTAAACCATTCAAATTTTCGAAAATTGAGAACTTTTTGGTCGAACTTCAGAAAAAGTTTTTTCTTCCGACAGAAAAAGTTTTTCCATCCGACAGAAAAATATTTTCCATCAGACAGGAAAAGTTCTTCCATCCGACAGGAAGAACTCTTGCATCCGACAGGAAGAACTCTTGCATCCAACTGGAAAAGTTTTTCCTTCCAACAGGAAGAACTCTTCCATCCGACGTACCACCAACCGAGTCCATTCCAAAGCCAGAAGAACCGACAGCCCCAGCACCACAACAGACTAAGACTAAACACTTAGATTTTCAAGCTTGACTTTTTACAATTTGAACTTTGTTCGCGTAGATATGAATTCTGAAAGAAGTATGAGGGTCTTGTATGACTTTGTACTTCTCCCATAGTTCATGTCTGTCAAACTTACCTGCCATGGACTCTTTCATAAGTTCCATGAAATCGTCTTCGGACAATCCAGGGAAAAGTATGATATCAGTAAGTATTCTTTTAACATCCTTACTTAAACTCTTTGCTGTCTGTACACAAATGACAACTGAGATGTTAAAGTGTCTGAGCTTCTTAAGAATTCGACACATATCTTGTTCTCTGTTCTTTAACAAAGGATGAGAAGCAAAGTCATCTAAGATAAGAAGACATCTGTGAGGGTAAGTCTTCCAATCGTAAGATTGCAATTTCTTCGAAATGTATTCTATCTCTTTCTGTTTGTTTCTGAAGTGTTTCTTCTCTAATATTCTCTGCATTTCCTCATTTGGGTCTTTAAACTTCGAATTGACATACTCATTTATAGCATTGTACTTCAAAACTCTTCTTTGGTACTTCTTTATCCAATCTAACAACTCAGTATCCTTTATACATACTAACTTAGACTTTTTTATAATATCTTTGAACGAATTGACGGTTTGGTCAAATTGACCAGAAGTACTACAAATGACTACTAACTCATAAAATGGGTTCTTCTCATCTAGTTCTTGTTGTTGTGCAGCCATTTTAAGATAAGTGAAAGTCTTACCCGACCCAGGTGGTGCAATTAGACCTGTTATACCATTCTGAGCAAATAAGAACTTGTCATGTATGGGTTTTATCTGAGCATTTTCTAACTTCCTCTTGTTCTTGTTTAAAACATTCTCAAATTTCTTGTCAATGTCAGCAAACTTTTTTTCTAACATATTTTTAGAAAAATTAAAATTTTTATCTTTTTGAAAATGTCTAGCGATTTCGCTATCTATATTCGAGACAAACTTTTTGACAGCAAAACATCTGTCGACCATAAAATCTTACATAGTGTAAACAAGAAAGGTGAATTTGTTCTAAAGTTCTGTTTCTGGGAATATGACAAGAACCATAAAACATTAAGCAGAGAAGTCTTAAAATTTGTCAATGACAGACTTGTTGACAGAGATGACGCCGATTGGAAAGATGAAGTCCAACAAAAGTTCTTAGAATGCAAAGAAGACACATGCGCTGTTCTTGAAGATGAAATAGAAAACAGAATAGAAGAGCTATTAAAGGACAAAGACCTTTTACAAAAATATGGTTCTGAGAAGTTTGACATAACTCCACCAGAGAAGAAGAAGAAGAGAGAGAAGAAAGAAAAGAAAGTAGAAGAAGAGAAGAAAGAACCAGTTCCAGAGAAGGTGAGATATGACATGTAAAAATAAAATTTTATTTTTAGAACATTTCTGGGTCAATGTCAATGTTCTCTTCCTCTTTAGGAGCAAACACTGGCTTAGACTCTAAAATCTTTTTACCCAATTTACCTTGAACTTCAACTATCTTAGACTCATAATATTCATAGTCGTCTGTCTTCTTTGGTTCATAAGGTATAACAAGTTTGTATGCTTTGCCTTCTTTAAGGTTTGAGAACTTTCTGTCAAAATTTTCTTTGACTGCTAACAAACCTTCTATGTCTAAGTCTTCAAATTTCGCACCATTTTTAGTCACAATAGCAAACTTAACTGGTTCGATGTTCCAAACTTTGCTGAATGAAGACTTTTCAAAATGGTAGAAGTAAACATTCAAATATGTGAATGGGTCTAGTTCTTCTTTAAGTCCTGTCATGTACTTGTTTACTGAGATGAATTTTGCCATCTTTTCTATCGGATAAAAAAAATATTTTTTTTTAAATTTACTCATAAAAATTATTTCTTTCTATATTTGCCATTCCGAACTTTGAAAAGATGTTTTATACCAGCATAGAATTTTTCTCTAGAGCTTGGTCTTATATCGTTTTCATAACAATATTTTCTATATTCTTCATATAAAGCCTTTTTTTCATACATTTCATAAGGACAACCTAACCAGAATAGCGCATATCCATTTTCGTTATCTAGGTCTCTATATGTTTCTTCTGTTTGTAGAATTTCGCTTTCTCTATTTAGTTCTATGTCTATATATTGTGGCTTAAAAAGATGTGGGCAAGAAGGGTCTGGCGCTATGTAAAAAGTTAATTTTTCTGCCATCTTTTCTATCGGATAAAAAAATATTTTTTTTAAATTTACTCAGAAAAATTTTTCTTTGTATATACGCCGTTCTGAATCTAAAAGACTTTTGACATTTGCCAAGAATGTTCGTTTAGACGCTGTCATATAACCATACTCTTGACAATATTGTTTATATGAATCGTACAATGACCTTTCATCTAAACACTCAAAGTCAGTTTCATCTATAAACAGTTCATATACACTCTTGTTTGCTTCTAACAATGTTTGTCTCTCTTCGGTATATGGAATTTGTCTTGGATTGAACTTTGAAATATCTAATGTCATGAAATATGAGAACAAGTGGTTGTAAAAGTTAGGTGTCAAAGTTTCTGCTAAGTCGTCAAAATATTCTGTATCTTGCATATGAGAATCTGACGTTCTGACAACTACATATCTTCTGTCAGAACTTTCTAACTTCATCGGAACAACATTGTTTGAAACCATGATGAAATTTGCAACATTTTCACAAACTCTTTGGTCTTTATATTTTCTTTCAACAACTCCAACTTTGTCTGTTATAAGACTCTTCAAAGCATCTGAGTTTAAAACCTTTGTTGTATCTATACTTTGAAGTTCGTTACATACTATAAGTTTCATATTCTCTATTGAAGAGTTAAATTTACCGCAGATGTTTTCTAAGTTTGTCATATTAGGGTTCGAATAGCCTCTAACAGTTTGCATAAGATATCTGTAAAGAAAGTGTTCTTACCAGTTCCTTGTTTTCCAATTATAATGAGAGCAGTTTCATTTTTAGCACTTGGATGTTGTAAGATGTTTGCAAACCAACATAAGATATACTCATAGACTCTTTCGTTTCCATTGCATATAATTTCTTTGACATGGTCTAACCAAGCTTCTATAATATTTTCTTTCCATTCTACTTGTTCGTATTTATATCCAGTGAAGATAGAATAGAAGTTTGGAGAAGGTGTATAGAACTTTATACCACGAACTGAAAAATCTTCAAGTTTTGACAATAAGATATCCCAAGCATCTAACATCTTCATGCCAACTTGTACAACTTTTATTTTCTTAAGTTTCTGTCTACATTCTTGTTCAGACACTATTGTTGCTCTTGGTTTGTTAAAGACAACATCCCATTCTTTCATGACATAACATTCTGGGGCAGAGTCAACATAAATGACTAAACGTTTCAAATTCTCGACTGCTTTGTTATAGTCTCGAAATGGACACATATTTCTGAATGCTTGGAAGTCATAAAAATCTGAAACATCTATTCTGTACATTTTTATAAAAATAAAAAAAATATTTTTTTTTATTCTTGACTTTGTTGTTGCATTTGTTCCATTTGTTGCATTTGTTGTTCTTGAGCTATTTGTTGTTGAAGTTGTTCTTGTAATACAATACTTTCACCAGTTGCATCTTCCAATTCGAAACTTTCTGCCGTCATTGACAAATACATAGGACATAAAAGTTTTACAGGAACAAAGTTTGCGTCAACTAAGGTTAAGTTTATGTTTGCTAAAGTGTTTGAGTTTACTAAAGCTGAAAATTCTGCATTCGAATGAACAATAGGCAAACCAGCAGAGAATGTGTTGTTTATACGCATGAGTATCTTTTGGTCATAGTAGTTTCTGTCGATATTCGAATAGCACTTTGAACCTAAGTTTGAAACAATATATAAAATAGGTGTACTTAAAGTCAATGGAACAGACAAACCTTGTATGACACCTTTTCCTGTTATAGGAAACTGTTGGTAGTAAAAACCAGATATAAGTTTTGTATTATAGCTCATATCGTTTATACTAAACTCAGTCGGACATCCAAACATAATGAAACCTGCTCTAGTTGCAGCACATGTTACATCCGTCCTTAAAGTATTAAATAAGTCAACAAAACCTGTTGGTGGTATATCTGAGTAAGTATCTTCAAAGAAGTATTTTTTACCATTCACAACAACAAAGTCTTCTGGTGTCAAAAGAGCAAAACAGGCTTTAGTCGTCATCGTGTTTAAAGTTAGTTTACAATATCGTCCTTGAGGACTTTGTAAGTTTGTTGTTATAGAATTATATGACTCAGGGTTTTTAGTCGTAATAGTTAAACCACTATGTCTTCTGCATTTACTTTGCAAATAAATTTTAATGAAATGTTGTGGTCGTCAAATATTTTTTATAACGTCTGGGAAACTATATTTTAAGTTCAACGTTCACCTCCTTTCATAACGTATATCTTGTCAATGAATTATATGAAACACCACAGCAACTAACGTCGGGTTCTATTTCTTTGATGTTTATATCGTCTGCCTCTGTCAAAAGTTTCAATAGTTTTCTTTTCAAAACTTCACGAGGTGCGATGACATAGATGAGTTCACTTTTACAGGGTTGTGCTCAACCAAGTTTAACATTATAACCCAAAGCCTGACAAATCTTCTCCTGAGTTTTAAGTTTGTCTTTAAGTTGTTGGTAGTCATTTCGAATATCTGCAACAGAACTTAAGTCTCTGCTAAACTTCAGGGTATGTTGGTTGTTCTTTTACAGGAACTATTGTTATACCATCTTCGTCTTCGTATGGTTTCCCCACTTCAACATCTCTTTCTTTGACATTGACAACACACTTTGACTGTTTGTTTGAGTTGGTGAATTTAACTTCACATCTGCCATCGCCATTAAACCTTTTGAAACACTTACGCTTCTATTTTTCGGAAATGACATTTTACTGTAGAATAAAAGATGGACGTATTTGAGTATCTCTTCGAATTGAAGCAAAACAGTTAAGTTTAACACACAAACAATACAAGTTCATTGACAGAATAGTTCTTTATACAAACAATGGAAAATGTTATAGAATAGCAGTCTTTGCTGAACCAAAATATTTCCATAAAGCAAAAGAAAGTTGGTATAACTGAAATGGTGAAAGTTCTTGAAGCAGACAAAATATAACAACAAAACTTACAGATATTTCTAAAGGTAAGTTTATAATACAATTTTATGTCAAAACTGGCGTACTGTCAATATTTGACGGAGAGAAGTCAGTTCAAGAACAACTTACTGACCTGCTGCCAAAATCTGCTCGATGGAAGCTGTCGTTTATACCAATCTGAGGAGCCCCAGCAGGTTTCATCGAACGAATCTTCAAAAGAGCATCTTCCGTGAAAAGTGCTATTGGTTTTGTAAACTTCTTTGCTTTCAATTCATTGGACCGTCTCTGTCACCAGTATATTGTATTTGAACTGTACCAACAGTTGAAATACCACCCATAAAGTCTTCTGAGTCAGCAAATGGAATGCCAAGCCAAAAGTTTGAACGGTCTCCATTTGTATATTGAGTTTTTTGACCTCCTGTATGAGTCCATACTTTCACATATGGCATAATAGAACTTTGCATTTCAGGGTTTATGGTTGTTGTGAAGTTGTTGTTAAAGTTCATAGCATCTAATGTCAAGTTGTATGACCTCATATCCTCAACTGTAGAATATTCTTCTCTTGGATAGTATTTGCCATCTATGTTTATATGGTATTTAATACCAGGGTTGTAGAAGCAAGAATAGTCATTTATAGTTCGTCTGAACAGTACAAACATAGTATCTGCATGTTTCATTGCAGTTGTTAAAGCAATATCTGTTCTTGCACCTGGGTCAGCACTTTGGTTTCCAACTTCACCTGCAAAGTCTTTGACAGATATTTGGTGTATAGGGAACATAAGTGGAACTGCAATATATTTGGCAGCTAAAGCATTTGAAATATCTGGGTCCAACATATAGACTGCAAGTCTGCTTTCTATTCTCTTGCATTCAAACTTTTCGCATGTGAACTTAACTGGGTCCCAAGCATCTCCAGCAGCATTGAAATAATAGTTTACTTCAGTGTTGAGGTTTGAGAAACCAAAGTCTAAGTCAACTTTGTTTTTGCAAAAGTCGGCGAATGACATTTTATTTGTTCCCACTACTTCTGTAAGAGTGAATGGGTCTTGTGTTGGTGCAATGACTAAGTTATTTTTGCTTGGAGTAAGTTCGATAGAAATTTTTTCCTGCCCAGTTTGGCAAGTATCTTAAAAACCTGAAGATGAGGAAAGATGACAAAGGAACTCTAAGTTTCAGTTTTACTTTGGTTACTGCTGCTGCAGTTTGTCCAGAAAGGTTAACATAAACTCCTGGAACGTTAGGGTCAAGTCTTCTTATTTTCTCAATAGTTGCATACTGGTCTGTTTGTTCTCTAGCTTGTGGTTGTACTGAGTTTCTCAAAGCGAACCATTCATAGTTTGCCCATGTTACTGTTTGAACTAAGTCAGAGTTAGAATATATCTTATATCCCATAAAAACTTCTGGAGCATATTGGTATCCGACATAGAAAATTCCATTGCAACCTTTCTTGTCAGACAACTTGGCAGAAGGTTTTATTTCAATGTCTTGTTCCACGTATAAGAATGAGTTGTCAATAGAAATAATATGAAACCTGTCGCAAGCAATATCTACTGTTGTTGAAGAACCTTCTCCAACTCACCTACGTTTCCATAAGAAACAGCAGTTGTATATTCGTAAGTTCCAGGAACTATTTCTGACCTTCTAATGGCATTGTCGCATTCGTTATACCATTCGGAAACATTTCCATTCATAGCATCCAAAACTGTTGGCGTTATATTCTGAGCGGCGTACATTTCATATGAGTAAAAATATAGAATAGTTGGATTTATATGTCATAATAGAACCCACGTGGACCAAGCTTTACTTTCTTCCTGACTGAGTTTTTAACTCTTCTTTTTCCTTCATTGCCCTCTGCTTCAAGTTGTTGCATCTTTGCCTCATGTTCACCTAGTATGTTGTAAATTTCCCATGTCCTTTTTGCCTTTGGGCTCTGGTCGCCCATCTCAGGTAACCTATATCCTAGAAAGAGTTTGTCATAGTTTGTATTTGAGTCTTTGCGTATTGTTTGCATGACTCTGTCCTGAGTTTCCGGTTCAAGCTCTTCAAACAGTGCCTGTCCATATGGAATATGCTCGTTTCCAAATATATGTTTTTGTAGCCATTCTGGTTTTCTTTCCATGTTACCAATTATATCTTTTGTGAATGGGAAAGCTTTTACCCAATCTTTCAGTCTTGCGTCGTTTATTTCTGTAGTTGGTTTTATTTTGTCAAGGAACATGTTTTTCAATACTAACATTTCATTTGGTACTGTCCATTTGAGTTTTCTTAAATATTCATCCCTTCTCGGTTCATTGTCTGCAAAGTAAGTTTTTATGACATTTTGTAAACTTTCGTTTGCAAGGTCATGTACAATAGGTTCTCTTCCTTCTCCCTCCCTAACTTTCTTTCTAAACTCTTCACCAAATATACCATCTCTATGGTTCTGTGTAGTTCTTTGAGATAAATGTTCTAGAACGTCAGGTGTTATATTTCCATCAGCCATGTTCATTTCATACTGGTCCAAAATATCTGCATGTTTCATATCTTTCAATGGCATTAAAGCCGCGCTTAAAATACCAGCTATATCTTGTTCACCATTGACTTCCATTGCGTCTACAACTTCTTGGAATTGTGGTTGTAAGTTTATGAACCACCTATCCGGGTTAGCTTTATGACCCCATCTCATTGTAGTTCCATCGTCTGCAGAAACAAAAGTAGGTTTGTTTCCATCTTGGTTAGGTTCTGAATGAACTTTAAACAATGTTTCATTTCTATATGTTTTCTTGAAATTTAACCTTTTATTTTCACCGAGTTCATCCGAAGATTGAACGTTAAATGCTCGTAAGTAAAAAGGGTTGTTGTATTTGTGTACATTTTCTTTCAGTACTTTCATTCTATGCTGAATATTTTCATCTGGTGTTGGAGTCTTTTGTATGTCGGCAAACATTTTTCGATATTCTTCTACTATGTCAGCCGAATCTTTCTTAGACTCTTGGAAAGATTCCATATTCACCTCATGCTCTTGTTGAGGGTCAAGATTTTTCGGCTGTTCCAAATCTTCATCTAGTTCTGTGAAGTTAGTTTCCAAAGGAAGGACTTGTTCGTTTCCTTCAGGCTCTTCTAGCTGTTGTTGCTGAACTATTTCTTCCATATCTGGTTGTATCTGAACTTCTTCCTGTGGAGTTTCTTGTACCTCATCTGCTGGCATTTCATATATTCCGAGACCGTTTTCAACAATTTCCCTATCTACGTCATCCGCATTCATAAGCTTTTGTTCTTTCGTTCCGTCTCTATTTTTTACGCGTTTCATGACGAAAGTTGAATTGTCATTTAGCTCTGACATCAAATATCTCGGAGTAAATTCATCCATGTCATTTGGATGATATGCTATTAAATCATATCCCTTAGCGAGCTTGTATTTTCCAGGTTTGAGATTATATCCGTTTTGGTGCTGAGCCATAAAGCTAAATAGGTTCGGGTCAGTATTTCCATCCTTGAACTTTCCAATAGCTTCTTTATATCTGTCACTAAAGTCAACAGTATCTGGGAAACCACACTCTTCTTTAAGCATTTTTAAGAATTCTTGGTTTCCTTGTTCTCTACTTCTTTTATGTCCTTGCTCTGTTTCTGGTTGTTGCTGTGCAGTGTTTTGAACTGTTGGTTGCTGTGCAGTGTTTTGAACTGTTGGTTGTGGTGCAGTGTTTTGAACTGTTGGTTGTGGTGCAGTGTTTTGAACTGTTGGTTGTGGTGCAGTGTTTTGAACTGTTGGTTGTTGTGTTGGTTGTTGTGTTGGTTTTGGTGCATGCCTGTGTCTGTGTCCATGTGACGATGTAAATGTTTTAGGTAGTCCTGGTGCAGGTGCTTCTCTTGGAGGGTTTGGTGGTATATAAGTTCCACTAGCTAGTATATAAGTTCCACCAGCTGGTATATAAGTTCCACCAGCTGGCACATATGTTCCATCTGCAGCATAATGTCCTACCTGACTTTTCGTTTTTAAGAAAGCATTTACTAGGTCTGTTTTGGTCTGTTGTAACTCTTTTTCTTGACTTTTCACAACAGTTGCTCTAACGGCGTCATAGGCACTTTGAACTGCCTGTCTCGTTGCTGCATCTGTTATTTTCGTCATATTTTGTGCTACTTCTTTTAACTCTTTGTCGAAACCTTCAGACTTCAGTTTCTTTCCAGATGAGAAGTCGTTCACTTGTTTCACCTTACTATGAAGAGCTTCGAAGGCGTTCTTAAAGTCAGCATTTGTTAAAGCTTCATTTGAACTGTCTTCATCCGCTTGTATTTTTGTCCTTATTGACCCTATAAGTTGGGCTGCTTTGGCGTTGGCTTGGGCATCTAACCAGTCATTGTTAGCTTTTATATATTCTGCGCTTTTCATTGCCTTTTGCATGGCTGCGTCGTTATTTTTACTTTCTTGTGCTAAGTTTTCATACTGTACGGTTTGGTTTTGCAACTGTAAAAGTTTTTCTGCCTTTACATTTGCTTCAACTTCTTTTTTATACTCATCGCTATCCATATATGTCTTCAGGGCTTTTTGTTTTATCTCTTCATCTTTCAGTATTTTATATTGAGTAGTATGGTTTTTCAAATTTACAACATCTTGTTCCATTTTTGCTACTTCTGCTGCTTTTTCTGACACTTTTTTCGCATATTCCTCTGTACTTAGTTCTTTCAGTTGCTCTTCTTTCTTCTTTTTCTCTACGTTTAACTCATTGAGTTTCTTTGTGTGTCTGTCATATTCTAGTTTCTTTTCGTTTTCACTTATTTGCTTCTGTATGTCTATGTTTGACTTTTTGACATCTGATATTTGATTTTTGAGTGAACTCAAATTCATTTGACTTTGAGGGTTATAGGCTGTTCCGTCTGCAGCTCCACCATAGCCTGCCATTTTCGCTAAAAGTGCCGCTCTTAAACCTCCACTCTGTGCACCAATGACTCGGTTTAAAAGCATAGGATTGCTTGACATTTGTTGCAACATAGTGGGGTCATTCAGCATTTGTTGTTGCAACTGTTGTTGTGGTGTTAGTCTTACTATTGGATGTTTCAATGCTCTCTTCCTCTTACGTATATTCTTACGTAGCTTACGTGGCATTTTAAGTGAAGTTAAAAAGCGGTTTTTGACAGATGTTTTATTGTGACTTCTTCGTAAAGACTTTGTTGAGATTTCTTCGTAAAGACTTTGTTGAGATTTCTTCGTAAATGACCCAAAAATATATTTTAGGTGAAGAGGTGAGATTTCACCTCTTTTTTCACCTCATTTCTCACCTCTTGAATTTTCATGAATTTCTTCGTAAAGACTTTGTTAAGACTTCTTCATCTAATTTCTCATGAACTTTCTTGTCTATGTTTTGTCAAGATTTCATCGTAAAGACTTTGTCAAGATTTCATCGTAAAGACTTTGTTGAGATTTCTTCGTAAATGACCCTAGTAGTATATTTTTGGTGTAAATTTCATGAAAATTCAAGAGGTGAGAAAAGAGGTGAAAAAACGGGTGAAATCTCACCTCTTCACCTAAAATATATTTTTGGTGTAAAATTCATGAAAATTCACGAGGTGAAAAATTAGGTGAAAAAACAGGTGAAATCTCACCTCTTCACCTAAAATATATTTTTGGTGTAAAATTCTGAGTAAAATGACAGATGGAACACATACTTTTTCAGTAAGTACATATGGGGTAGAAAAGAGGGTAGAAAACGGGGTAGATATACCCTTCTACCCTAAAATATATTTTTGTCTGATTTACGCTCATTACGATGAAGTTTTGACAAAGTCTTTACGAAGAAATCTTGACAAAGTCTTTACGAAGAAATCTTGACAAAGTCTTTACGATGAAGTTTTGACAAAGTCTTTACGATGAAGTTTTGACAAAGTCTTTACGATGAAGTTTTGACAAAGTCTTTACGATGAAATCTTGACAAAGTCTTTACGATGAAATCTTGACAAAGTCTTTACGATGAAATTCATGAAAATTCAAGAGGTGAAAAATGAGGTGAAAAAACAGGTGAAATCTCACCTCTTCACCTAAAATATATTTTTATTGAATTCTGTATAATATTCTGAGTAATATGACAGATGTTTATATAACACTTTCTCCGGTTTATAGGACCTCTCTCATATTCTATCTTGTCATATCAAAACTCATAGTCATGTTTGTCCTCTAAGACTTCATTTATACTAAACATCTTCAGGGCTAGAAGGCACGAAGTGCCTGGAAGCCCCACTCCCTTTTTTTTTTTTTTTTTTTTTTTTTTTAAAATGTGTATCGAGAAAGGTAGTCTCACGAAAAATCTGACTGTAAAAATGTGTATCGAGTTTTGAGAAATTTATGGAAAATTACGACATCTAAAATTTTTGGTTGATGTCCAAGGGAGAAACTCACCAAGCCCATTATGACAAATTGCTGGAGATTTTTACAGGATATAATGATGTCTCCGATGCTTTGTACCGGCTGAAAACAAATGACGAAGAAAAATTAAACGCAATTTACAACAAAATCAAACAAAACCTGATTGACTCTTATCGAATTCCGCCTGGTGAGATTATCAATAAAATATCTCAACTTTCAATTTATAACAACTGCTTCATGAAGTCATATTTAGCGATTACCAAACAAATTGTTGACGAATTCCATCTAAATCAGGTCAACAAAATCAACGAAGTTTTTAACTACCTTTTCTACAAAGAATACAATATAGTCTTGAATGAAAATGGGAGAAAAAATTTTAACGATTTTGAAGATTCTCATTATTCATCTGATATTCACGAACAAAATACAATTCACAGATCTATTATGTATGATGACAAAATATCATTGATAATTTTTACAGAAAGCGAAGGATTTGATAAAAATCAAAAATTAAAAAGTGAATTATATCCATATTCATATGAAGGTATTTCATTACTTGAATTGTGTTGTTATCATGGATCTGTTGATTGTTTTAAGATCTTAATAACGAAATTTCAATCAGAAATCACTCCAGAATGTCTTAAATATTCTTTTTTGAGCGGAAATCAAGCCATTCTGAATGAATGCTTGAAAGTACAAAAACCAGATAATGAATGCATGAAATATGCAATAATATCACACAATATCGATTTTGTCACATTTTTGATGAATGAACACAATATAAACATTGATTTAGAATTGTGCTATAAATACAATAATCTTCAATCATTTTTAGTTTACTTAGATCAAACAAATGATATCAACACATGTTTTGTTTATTCTTCGAATTTCCATCTTTCATCACTTTTAGAATATTTTATTTCAAATGGTGCAGATATCAATTCTAATGACGAATATGGATGTACCCCTCTTCATTATGCAGCCAGATAAAATAGCAAAGAAACTGCAGAAATTCTTATTTCAAATGGTGCAAATATCAATTCTAAAGACAAATATGGATGTACCCCTCTTCATTATGCAGCCAGATAAAATAGCAAAGAAACTGCAGAAATTCTTATTTCAAATGGTGCAAATATCAATTCTAATGACGAATATGGATGTACCCCTCTTCATTATGCAGCCAGATAAAATAGCAAAGAAACTGCAGAAATTCTTATTTCAAATGGTGCAAATATCAATTCTAAAGACAAATATGGATGTACCCCTCTTCATTCTGCAGCCAGATAAAATAGCAAAGAAACTGCAGAAATTCTTATTTCAAATGGTGCAAATATCAATTCTAAAGACAAATATGGATGTACCCCTCTTCATTCTGCAGCCGGAGAAAATAGCAAAGAAACATTAGAAAATCTTATTTCAAATGGTGCAAATATCAATGCTAAAGACGAATATGTATTTACCCCTCTTCATTATGCATCCAGATATAATCGGAAAGAAACTGCAGAAATTCTTATTTCAAATGGTGCAGATGTCGATGCTAAAGATGAATATGGATTTACCCCTCTTCATCTAGCAGCCAGAGATAATAGGAAAGAAACTGCAGAAATTCTTATTTCAAATGGTGCAGATGTCGATGCTAAAGACAAATATGTATTTACCCCTCTTCATTCTGCAGCCGGAGAAAATAGCAAAGAAACATTAGAAAATCTTATTTCAAATGGTGCAAATATCAATGCTAAAGACGAATATGTATTTACCCCTCTTCATCTAGCAGCCAGATATAATCGGAAAGAAACTGCAGAAATTCTTATTTCAAATGGTGCAGATGTCGATGCTAAAGACAAATATGGATGTACCCCTCTTCATCTAGCAGCCAGAGAAAATAGGAAAGAAACTGCAGAAATTCTTATTTCAAATGGTGCAGATGTCGATGCTAAAGACAAATATGGATGTACCCCTCTTCATTATGCAGCCAGAGATAATAGGAAAGAAACTGCAGAAATTCTTATTTCAAATGGTGCAGATGTCGATGCTGAAAACAAAGATGGATGTACCCCTCTTCATTATGCAGCCAGAGATAATAGGAAAGAAACTGCAGAAATTCTTATTTCAAATGGTGCAGATATCAATGCTGAAAACAAAGATGGATGTACCCCTCTTCATTATGCAGCCAGAGATAATTGGAAAGAAATCCTTAATTCAAACAAGACAAGACTGTCAAGTTGAATTTCGTAAAGGCAAAGGTTCAAGAGCGGGTCGCCATATTTTTCATTTATTTATTTATAATAATAAAGACTCATATTTCCGAAAATCGCATGAGAATCATATTATAATATCATGTATATGTTAAATAAATGATAATACTAAAACTTTATTCCTTGATTATTTTTTGACAGTTTACTAAAAATCTCTGACATCTCGAATTTATCTTGTCACTTTTCGGTCCCCCAGCGTCCCCAAGTGGGGGACGCAATTGTCCCCAATGGGGACAAAACGACATGCTTATATATATCTAAAAAGAGAATTAAATAAATAAAATTTCTGTTTAATATATAACTCTATATAAAAATAAAATTAAAAAAAAATTAATTAAAATGGTCTTTGTATTTCTTTTTGGATGATCTTCAAAGCAGCAAGATTAGAACCGCATCTACTTCTCATTTCATTCACTTTTCCATGTACCAAATCCCTTATTTTGACAAAAATGTCCTTAATTTCTGGGGAACTTTCCATTTGTCTTTCGTGGAATTTGATCAAAGAATTTATGCATCTGACAGTCAACTCTATTTCCTTTCCTTCCTCCAACCATTCGCTCGACCATTGAAGGAATGAAACAGCGGAGGAGAATGGCAAACTCTGCATTACAACATCCATGTCCGCTCTATTGATTTTACGCATTGAATTGAGAAGATAATCCTTTGGCGAAACATTTCTCATCAACGGGTTTTCTCCTGGATTTTCTTTTTCTTTGTTTGCAGCAGCGATGTCATCTCTCAGTCTATCTCCATGTTCGATTGATTCTACAGTCATTCTTCCTGGTGTATCAACAACAGCGCCTCCGAAAATAGAACCTCTCAATGCTTGTATTGTTCTATCATTCTTTTCGGCGTTTTGTGTCTCTATCTGTTGTTCCAAGCGTTTTTCTTCTTCAATGGAGAGATAAATCTTTTCTGTTGTCCTCTTCCAAAGTCTGATACCTTTATCTCTTCCGCCTGTCACAACATAAGAGCCGTTTGGAGAAACATCCATCGCGTAGATCTCTCCGATGTGGCTCCTCAATGTCTGAACGCATCTGAACGTGTCGCAGTCCCACATCTTGAGAACACCGTCTCTGCCGCATGTCCACGCGTAATGTGTCTTCGGAATGAATTTTGAACAGACAACAACGTTCTCGTGAGCCCAGAGAGATCTGTGGCAGTCGCCAAACTCTGTGCCCCAGATTCTAAGGTTCTTGTCGGCGCTGGCAGTGACAATTAACTCATTGTCGTAGGAATAATCGACAAAAGTGACAGGAAGATGAGATCCGTAGAGACTCAAGTGGAATGATAGGGTTTCGACTTCGAAAACTCTAACTGTAGAATCGAGTAATGCGCATGCGATGTATTTGGAGTCTGGAGAATAGCAAATTGAGTAACATTCATCTGGTAATTTAAGTGTTCGCTTATGTAAGAGGACTGGCTGCTCGTTCTTGAAGCCGATGTTCCAGAACTTGATCTCTTTGTCGCTGGAACATGTTGCAACTTCGGTACAACCTGGAGCAACGATGATTTGCCAGATTCTGCCATCATGGCATTTGTTCGTAGAGTATACTTGGCCTTGTGATGAATCACACATCTCGATATTACCTTCTTTTGTACCTAAAATGAAAAATCTTCCGCCAGGAAGTACTGCGATGGATGAAATCGTGCCACACGCGATTGTTTGGATGCATTGCTTGCTTTCTAAGTCCCAGATTCTAACACTTCCTTCAGATGCTGAGACAATTTTATCAATTTCGTCTTCGCTTTCTCCAAAGAAAGCCAAACCTCTGATATCGTTATTATGTCCCTTTGTCTGATGCTTTATCTGGAAGGTGGCCTGTTCTTCCCCTTCCTTTTGGACATTTTCTAAAACAACAATCGAGTTATCGGCGAGGGTAGCGACGATTAATTTGCCCAGAAATTCTGCGTTACACAATCTAGCGGGCAAAGTAATTGTCTGTTCCTTTTCGAACTGGAGAACTTCTGTTGCTTGGCCTCCAGACTTTTGTGCTCGCTTTGCACGGCGTTTTCTCTTCTTTTCCATCTCTTCTTCGGATAATATCGACCAAACATCGATATTTTCGCCTGAAGTAACGAAAGCCATTGATTTTCCATCGGGAGCAAGCGCGATGTCTTGCACTCTGTGCTTTGTGTCTCTGTTAATTTGAACATCCTGTGTAAGAACGATTGTATTCTTTGTATCGACTTCTTCCGGATTAGATATAATGAAAGAAAAGAAATCCGATGATTTTCCAGCTGCTACAAGCTTGATTGGACTAATCAAACATAAAGCATATAATTCTGAAGCGGCAACAGTAACTGTTTGTATGCAAAAATTAATGTCTAAGTCCCATACACGGATATGAGTATCCTTTGAAGCTGAGATGAGCCATGGTGTCTCAGGAATGAAACACATATCTGTAATAGCATTTTGATGACCTGAAAAGCGGCAAATACCACAGTCACCGATTACATCCCAAATAACAATATCATTATCTTGTGAACCAGAAGCAAGTAAATTTGAATCAGAATTAAAAGCCAAGCAAGTAATTGGTCTTCTGTGGCCAGTGAAGTGATTTACTTCTTCACCTTCAACGTTGAAGACGGAAATTTCAGCATTTGAGTAGCCAACAGCGATTAATTCTTCATTTGGCGAGACAACGACATCATTTATTTGTATGGTTTCGTGCTGTTCTTTGAATTTAGCTGGAGGATTGAATTCTTGCTTAATTTGAGAAAGATTTGTGGAATATGCAACTAATTTATCTGCTTGAGCGGACAAAATGAGTCCAGATTTCTTCAGAACTTGTACAGACTTTGCTCTTGTTGCGTGGAGCCCAAGTACTGAATCAAAGGTAAATCCAAGATACGCGTGCTCCATTATGGACAAAAAACCGCTTTTTACATTCAATTTCAAAATCTTTTGTCTTCCAAAAAATCAAATTCTAAAATCATGATTTTACAGCAAAAAACAATAGTTTTGTTTAATGCGAGACAAAATCTAGTTGAGAAGAGTTAATTATGTTTAGTGTGAAAAATAATTTTTTATTTAATATGAAATTATACAGGGAACGGTGGGTACAGCGAATATACGAGTGTAACTTTTTGCGCTCAACAGCCCCTGCATATATAAAATCATCAATTTTATGCTGGCTGAGATGTTTTTGCATCGAGTGAATTAAGAAATTCTGCTATTTCTTTTCTATTGAATTTTTTTGCAATCCGAAGCAAGTATGTCTTATTATTTACATTTGCGCCATGTGAAATAAGAACTTTCATCGTTTCGAGACTATTATATACTATTGAATAGATAAGGGGTGTTTCCTTTACTACGCTTGTTGCATCAACAATTGCGCCTTTAGAAATGAGAAGTTCAGTAATTTCTTTACAGTTTCCCATTGCCGCTGAATGAAGCAAAGTACTTCCATTTTTGTCTTTGACTAATACATTAGCACCTTGTGATATAAGAAATTCTACAATTTCTTTATTATTCTTTTCTGTTGCATAATGAAGTGCTGTTTTCCCAGCAGAATCTTTGGAATTGATATTGATACCGTGCGAAACTAAAAATTTAATAATTTCTATAAAATTATATTTGGCTGCTTGAAAAAGATGCCTTTGGCAATATATTTTTTCGATTGTTGATGAATTTATCAAAAAATCGCATACTTCCCTATTATTATTTACCATGACATAATCAAGGCAATTCCAGCCTTTTATTGTGACCTTCGAATAATCAACTTCTTCATTTTGAAGAATGTCTTTAATCTGTGGAAAGGCCATACACCATGGAAATACTGAATTTCTTTCTTTCTCGAACATTAAGAAAACAGCTTTCAAGTTATTCGAACTGATTATTGCATCAGAGTCAAGATCTTGAAGTGTAAACGAATCTCTTTCAAATATATATTCAAGAAATTTATTGTTATGACTTAGTATAGCATATTTCAAGCATTGTGGATTTAAATTTTGATGCTTCATACATTCATTGATTATGTCAGTATTTCCACCAATTAACGCTAGTTGAAGACATGCTTCACTTACATCACCTGCTAAATTTGTAATGATGAAATAAAAAATGTTGACTGATCCAAAATAACAGCATGCTTCTATTGCTGAAAGATCGCTTGAAAAGTTGTAGATCAGTGGAGGAGGAATAACAGGAATTCTTATTCTAATCTTTTCTAATGCATTTTCAGAAATGAATTCTTTAAAATCTTCAATTTGATCATGCATTATCACATAATCGATTTCATCCTCAACAGGGAATGAATTTTTTTTAATTCTGATTCGATTTTCATTAGCGGAATCATTCGGACAATACAAAGGCCATGATATAGTATAAGAAGGTAAATCTTTATATTTTAATGAGTATTTCGCTAAGAAATGGTTAATGATCTTGACATAAAGCTTGAGAGACTTGTAGTTATATTTCCCGGCCATAGTTAATGCAATAACCAGTTTGTTGCAATCTATTTTATACTTGTCAAGTAAAATCGAAGTAAATAAATTTATTAACTCTTCAATTGAGTCATTTGATTTCATGTGATAAAGTTTCTCATATGCTCCTATAAAATTGTCATATTTTTGTAAGTACTGAGAACACATAATCAATGCTCCTTCACCTAAAAAAAACTGACTAAAAATTCAAATTGACTAGAATTGACTCATTTCTCTATACACGTTTAGCATATTATACGTGTATTGTAATAATCATTCTATGAGGTAAAGCTGTTTTCTTATTATAGTTTTATTACTAGGTTAGTTAATTTTTTTCCCCATTATGAGTTGACAAAATCCAAAAATTATCTTATAAACATAAGGAAGTCAATTTGGAAAATTGTTTTCACTTTAGGAGAATATAATTTTCCATTTGGAAAATTTAAAAAGTGAGACGCGCAGGATTCGAACTTTTTTAAAAAGTTGATTTAAATGAATTTTAGTGTGGAATATAAGGATAATATCATATTTAAAATAAGAATATACTAGTTTAGGTGGTATTAATTTTTTCGATAAATTTGAGAGTATGTACGTTTAGGGCATGAAAAGTGTCAATTCGCTCAGCGAAAGCTGAGCTAGCTTCGTTCTCGAAAGAATAAGGAAGGAGTGAAGGAGAATGATACAGAAGTTGACACATTCATATCATTTCAACAAATTTTGATCAAATTGAAATTCAATAAAATTCAATTCAATTCATATCCTTCAGTCAGTACATTGATATCCTTCTGCATCACAATGATAACTCGTGCATCAATAGTTCTACAACTAACTCAGAAAAAACAAGATTATTACTTCCTGCTTACAGCTTTTAAAAAGTTTCGATGATAAAAATCACTCTACTCTCGTTTATCGACATATGGTGATAGTAGGTAAACATATTCTTATCGATATTAATAAAAATATTTGTACGAAAATCTTATCCAATTAGAGAGTTATTCATAAAGTATATGATAATTATAATTACTTTATCTTTGTTTTATCTTTGAATAAACAATTTAATTTAAATTGCATAATATTTTTTGGTTGAAAGACAGGAAACTTAGTTGAGTTTGTATTATTTTTATCGTTTAATTCATCGTATCAGTGAGTGATCCAGATATTTAAGATATTTAGAAAAAAAATTATTAATTTGATTAACAAATTTTAATCAAAATAGCAAAAATCTATTTGATAGCTGTAAACAAACAATAATTTTTATTTCAAGCAAAATCACTTATTTTCATCTAAACGTATAAAATTGTCAATTTTATGAAAATAAATTGAAAATCTCATGAAATGTAAAGGAGAGTAATATTTTTCAATTTTCTTTTTTTCTTTGTCTCAAATATTTTCTGTTGGGAATTTTCTTGTTATCAAAAAATAATTTTAATATTTGTTTATTTCATTACATACAATAAAATTTTAAAAACTCTATTTCTTCACAAGAAAATTTTTTCCTTCATATGAAGAAACATTTTGTTCTCCATTTGATACTGAGTCTAAATCTCGATTTTTGAATTTTCTTCTTTCCAAATTTTTTTTTTCCAAATTAGAAGTTTAATTCAAATTTTCAATAGTTTATATATTTTCTCAAACCGTCTCAGATTTTCTCACTTTTTAGGGATTTTATCTCAAAATATACAAAAATAGTAATATCAATACATGTGTCTAATATACTTTAAAACCATCGTGACAAAATTCAAAAACGAAGAGTTCTTCTCTCCAAATTTTTTTCAAAATCAAAAAAATGAGATAAAAAAGTACGTTTGGAAAATTCATTTTTAGCATTTTAGGAATTTTCTCACTTTTCTTCCAAATTGACATCCTTAATAAACAGAATATAAATACGATGTAGATCTTTGACTTTTTACTAAAACGTTGATCATCGTATTGTATGTAACAACATCGGGTTGAACACCACTTTGTATCATCTTTTCAAAGACTTCGCAGGCTTGATCGTACATTTTTTGTTTTGAATATTGCGCAATTTCTTGATTGAAATGCAATGCCGCTGGAAGAGACATTGCTCTCTTTCTACTTCTGGATGCAGTGCGAGGATCAGTACCATACTGATCCTGGGGCGGATCTGATCCATTCATAGAAAGGGGGAAAAAAAGTTTTCTTTCGAAAAAAAAGTGTCATTCGGTGGGTACTTAAATTTTCGTCACATTTTTGATCGGTCATTTGATTTGATTTTACATTTAAAATATATAAATTTGTTTGTGTAAGATATTTGTTGTTAGATTACTTTTTTCAGATTGAATTGAAAAAGAGAAGCGAAAATTTTACAGAAAAATGATATTACACACTCTCTCGACAATAAGTAATTTGGAATAAAAATTCATCCAAACTTTTTCAAAATTGAATTGAGAAAATTTTATGAAAATCAGATAAAAACCGAACACTGATATTATTGTTTCATTAAATTTCGTTTAATGAATCATTCAATATCATGAGCAAATGGAAACCACTAATGAATCTATACATGGCACGGCGGGCGCAAAAAGTGACAAAATAGAATACCTATGGTGGCAAGACAAAGGAAACATTTTTGTAAGGCAAACATTATATCAAATACCTTTACTTTGTAATAAGAAATATAATTATCACGAAATTACAAATAAATATTGTTTAATATAATTAATAGCAAAATTCTTTTTTATTATTTCCCTTAAGACCTTACTTATTAAGTATACGTATAACAAGCTTGTACTGCATGTATTAGTTAATAGAACAAAAGAAAATGAGCTCAAATGAAAAAAATTTTCATGCTATTTTGGAAATATGCATATTCGAAGTATGAGAGTTGTAAACACTGAGAATTTTAAGCTTTGGTTGATGATAATCTTTAATTTTTCTTGAAGTAGTAAATTATTTGATATGAAAATTTAATGGCCAGCATAATCAATCGTGCGTTTCGTTTCTTGATTGAGAAACGATGATTGTGTGCTAATGAATTATTGCGTCTGACAGGTTATGATTATGGATACCTGAAATTAAGCTTTTATGGGAAACATCACCGAGCGCCATTTGGCGCCCCTAATGCTGCAATCGAGAGTAATGCTGAGTCGTTCAATTCTCTTACGTATAAGACACAAACTATACCTTTTTATTCTCTCATTTTAAATTTAATTTGATCGTAAAGTTATGCATTGAATTTATCTTTGTTACTTGTTCCTTAGACATATTGAATTGATTGTTTCTATTTCATTCTGGATTGGATGCATATATTCGCAGCAAATTAGTTTATTATAATGTTTGCAATCAAAATGAAATTCCAGAGTTGTGATTTTTATTAAATAAATAAGAAAATATCACATTTTTGCACCATATGAAATAAGGACTTCTTTGTTTTCTTTTCTTTTATTAAGTGCTGCAATATTAAAAGTGGATTGTCCATCTTTATTTTTTTCATTAATATTTATACCATGTGGAATAAGAAGTTCGGCTATTACTTTACTTTTATACTATGATGCATAATGAAGTGTAGCTTTTCCACCACAATCTTTTTCATTGATATTTGCACCATATGAAGTAAGAAGTTTGGCTGTTTCATTGCTTTGATAATGTGATGCATAATGAAGAGCGGTTTTACAATTTTTATCTTTTTCATTGACATTTGCATCATATGAAATAAGATTTTCGGCTAATTCTTTATAATTAAATTTTCCTGCATAATGAAGAGAGGTTTTTCCATCTTTATCTTATTCATTGATATTTGCACAATGCGAAATAAATAGGTATGACTATATCTTTACTATTATTATTTAAAAAAATATTAGCTCAGAGATAAGAATATAATTGAATATAAATACATTCCATTAAAATAAGGTATGAATTTTAATGGACAAGAACAACCGAATTTATATGGTAGGGGAATGATTTTTGCTTTATACATTAAGTAATTTTTTTCTAGTGATGAAATGATTACATGGCCATTTCCGCGATGACCGTATTCTGGGATTGGTTCAAAAATATTAGGGGCAAACATACGACTTTTTCCATCGATCATTATTGGATCTTCGAATTTATATCCAGAATAATGAATTGAAGGATCATCTGCAGTAGAGAATTTAGGATTCTCGGGTGTGAAATCTTCAGTGACAAAAATACACCCTGGATAACCGCTTATATACGAACTTCCACCACCTGAAGAACCTAAAGTGGCGCTTTTACTTGTACCTCCTCCAAAATAACCGCCGCCACCACCGGCATTGCCATCTGGGCCGCCATCCAAGTAAATTCTTGCTCCATTTCCGCCCCCATAACCAAATATTCCTGGATAAAAGCCATCGCCTCCTGAGGTTTGATTTCCACCCTTACCATCGCCATCAATACCTTGTAGTCCGCCACCATGGCCCGGAAGAGGGATATAATCTGTGGCACCACCTCCTGCAGCCACCATAATTCGACTCTTCAATCCAGATATATTACTATGGTGTCCTGGGAGTAATCTAACATCGGAGGCCCCTCCGCCTCCAACTTCTCCTGGACCACCACCACCATAAACAATTTGTGGTTGTGGTCTTTGTCCTTTAGCTCCAACATGAACATATAAAGTTAATTTACTTTCAAGCGATAAAATTCCGCTAGTATAGGCACCTAATCCTTGATCATTACCGCTGGCGCCCCAACACTCAATTTTCCAGTTACCAGCTGTTAAATTAATCTCATAAGGGGAAAATTCATAATTATTGGTGCCATTATAAGGTAAATCATACACAACTTGATTCGGAAACGGTTGAGAAATCAAATATATATGATATAGATTTTTTTAACATTTGTATGTTGGGAAGATCCAACATACAAATTGTATATATTCAAACCCTACCTATAATATGCAGCATAGGCACTATTTTCTTATACTTAGCTCATTGAAAGAAGAAGAAAAAGATAAAAAAATTTGAAATATTTTTAATATGTCATAATGAAGTATAAATTATATGCCATTAAAAAAGGGTAATGTAAAATCAATAATTTTTAAAATCTTACTTTTGAAAATCAATAAAAGAATTAAATTATTTGATAATCTTGTTATCCAAGAGATATTCTCTAGTTTCAGGTGCAACACTGTTAACTATCTGATTAATGATATCCTTAGAAACACCTGCATCTGCAATCATTTCGATGAAAACTCTGTCATCGTTATCTTTGAATTCTTTAACCAAATTTAATCCAGCGTCAACTGTTGGATTCTTAATAAAACGCTGTGCAGCTCTCCATGTTATATCCAACTGTTCCAAATTGACTGATTTGGCGAAACTCTTTGCAGCAGACAAGTTTCCTTGGTCCAAATACTTATCGATGACATCAATAGCATTACCAGTGATTCCTAACTCTCTGCATGCTTTCTGTACCGCGTTGTATGTGTTAGCAACTGTGACACCGTAATCGTCTTTGACAGATTTGGCAAATTGGATGACAGAATCCATTGGTTTTCCTTCTCTCACGGCCTTTTCGAAGAGAAGGTTAACAGCTTCCTTAGGACGCTTTGCATTCACGTATAGTCTGCTGTTATCCGGATCATCTGGTTTAACCATTAACCAGGCGGCCAATGCGATGTCACTTTTTCCAACACAATCATAAATTAAAGAATCTTGTTTGTGATCGAGACCTCTCTTGATTACGTAGATTAAGAGAGCCTCGTCGTTTGATTCTATGGCTGCTTTGATGGCCTGCTCCCATTCTCCGTTCTGGATATGCAAAGGAACTCTTCTGGAAGCAACAGTGTTTTGTTCAAGAAGTAATCTCCCGAGTTCGTCCTTCCTGGACTTTGGATTGGACTTGTTCAGTTCGTACGCGAGTTGTGCAAGGTCGATGTAGTCGATTGTTGCAACTCCGCCATACATGGCTGAGCAATCTTTCAAGATCTTGACAATCTTCTGGGGAGGAGCTGAAGAACGGACAACACAGCGTGACCAGTGGCTGTAGATGGCATCAGTCTTCTCTCCGATATAATCTGCAACAGCTTTGGCGTAGATATGTTTGTATCTATTGCATAATCTAACGATTAAGCGGTCGTTGCGTAATGCGGATAGCTGTGCTGGAGTGAGAGGCATGAAGATTGGTGCTTGTGACATGTTATCGCATATCCTGATGCCTTCAATCGCAAATCCGAATTTTGATACTTCAAATAATGGGTCAACGTACTTACTTTTAGCGACAACTTCGAGTAAGGAGTGCCTGATCTTGATGTCTGTGAAGAATTCGGAGGCGGCAAGGCACTGGTTGAGTGCGTCATGCATTGTATCTTCGAAATCTTTAAGAGGATCGGTAGTTGCGAATACTCTGCGGTCTGTAACAGCTGTGAAAAGCTTCATGCCTGGATTTGTTTTCGATTTGTCCGTAATAAATGATAAAACGCCATTATCATCAGGAACATTACGAAGAAGAAGGATTTCCTTGTGTGTAATAATTCTTGCGCCATCAACCTCTGTCGCTACAACGAAGCCGCCTTCAAAATCCCAGGTTAATGTAGATTGTGTCAATCCGACCTGAACTAACTTGAAATTGCGGCCAAATCCTGTGTCCGTTTGGGTTGGAACTGTAAGGAGAAGGGTTCCGAAACCGCACCAGTTCATCTTGAATTCATTCGTAATATTTCCGATTTGGAGTTCTGCGTGGCATTGTGAGAAATCGATACTGTAGAAAAAGATACTCTTGTTGTCGTAGTCATTTCCGAGGCAGGCAACAACTGCAACGAAATCATTTGATGGGCTGACAACCATTTGAAGGAAATGCTGGGTTGTTTGGGTATCTATCATGTCAAGATCACGCTGGATACAAAGTAGTCTATCGCGGTTCTCTTCTTGTGCATTAACATCGATGGCAGCGACCCATAATGCGACATCAAAGCTCTGATCGTTGGAAGAGTGTGGAGGAACGACAGCAAGAGCACTGATGGAGTAAGGAATGTGGCCAAATTGAGAAACAGTCATCTTTGTGAAGTCTTCAACGAGATATACATCTCCCATTTGAGAGATAACGAAAACACCTGTATCGTAGAAGCAAGCGTATGTTGCTGTAAGTGTCTGATCTTCGAAAACTTCTTTAGTTGTGATAATTTGGCCTCTTTGGTTGTAGATATAAAGTTTGCCAGTTGTATCTAAGAGAATTAATGTTTCTTCTGGTGTTAAATAAAAATCTGCAAGGTTACGACCTGATGGGAGTCTGATTGTTGAAACAAGTGTTAAATCAGTGCTGAAAAGACGAATGTCGGGGTTATAATCGCCCATACTGACATAATCAGTATTAATAACAGCCATCATACCACCGTGTTTAGCAATTCTGAAATTAGACTTTGTGAAATCGACGCCTTCCCAATCTGGAAGATAATTTGTGGATTTAAATAATGGTTCTGTAATCATTGTGAGTGTATCTTCTGTTCCCTCATTAAAAACACGTATTGAATTTCTTAAACTATCAAAATATGTGTTGATATCTTCTTGCTGCATCAATATAAAGTTATCGCTTTCTTCTCAATTTTTGATAAGTTTATTTTTTCTTCACTCCTAAAAAAATTATATCACATCACAAATGCCATTTTTCGATGAGAACAATCAAGGTATGACAATGTGTAAAGAAATGATCAATGATTGGCCTCCAATGAACAGATTTTTTTTGATCAGCAAAAATGTAAAAAAAATTATAATTCGTTATTTTAATTTCTCTATCATTGGTCTGTTGCTTTTTATTATTTGACGTTGTGAACCTTTAATTTTTTTCTATTTATTATGCTAGACGTTGTAACACCTCCACTTAACGATGAGGATGCTCCAGCAGATATTGAAACATATGAGCGTCTAAAGTACATTGCCCTTTACCCATTCCATATCGAGTATCTTGCTTTAAAGGGCGTTTTAATCGAATTGTTTTTTGCAACTCGTGATTTTCTTCTCTTACCAATCTTTTTAATCAAAAATACAAAAGATCCACTTAAAAAGCAATATAACTCTGTTGTTGCCTTAGGTTTAATTGTTACTTGCTCAATCATGCACGGTTTATCTATTACAATTGAAGATGCTGTTGCTTTAATTTCCAATCAGAAGATTTACAAGATCTGGGCCATCTATACGATTGTCATCATCATGGTTAGATACACTCCTAAGATGCATAATATGGGTTATCAGGCAATCCGTGGTGCTCTTCGTCTTAAGAGATCGCTTCTTGGTCCGATCATCACAAAGATCATCTGCGATTCCTTCGAATACTCTCTCTACACTCTACAAGCCGGAACTTTAATTGCAGGATCTGGTGGAAAGAACAACTTATTCATTTCAGCTGTTCTTCACATCGAATTCATCATCTTCAAGAAATTCATTCCAAAGGCTACAGATGGCAATCCACTCGTTTATGAAGCTACAAATCGTATTTTGATGTGGATTGCTGTTCTTAACCACTGGCAGTTCGGCAAATACGGTGAATGCTACATCATTATCTTATGCGAGTACTTATTTGCTATCATCAGATTCTATTTCGTTGCATTTTCTGATGAAGCAAGTAATTACGAAAAGAAGATGGAAAAATGTGTTAAACAAGCCGAAGCCGAACTCAATGGTATCTACAAGGGTCCTCTCTCCTCTTCATTCTACGTTTATGCCCCTCATGAGAGTATTGCTTTGATTCTTACAACATTTACAAGAGTTGGATCATACAGATTCAGATTCATGTCTGTTATCGTTCTTGTTGCCATGGTTGTCATTTCTACCTTCGTTCCAAACATTATTTTCAGAAAATCTGACATTGATCAGGACAAGAAGGAAAAGGAGGATGCTGATGCAGGAGATGATGGAAAGCCAAAGGAAAAGAAGGAGAAATCTCCAAAGAAACAGAAACCAGAAGAAAACGATGAAAAACCAGAAGAAAAGAATGAAAATCAAACAGAGGAAAAGAACGAAAAGCCAGAAGAAAAGGAAGGAAAGGTAGAATAAGCTAATTTCATTCTCTAATTCAATCATGTGATTTTGTTCTTGTTGATAACGAATCATAAACTGATTTTATATTGATTTTTATGACTTACTGTATTTGTCTGCCTTTTTAAACATTAGTTCATGCATCAGATATGAATTGAATTATAAATTTCAATCAGAATTTCTTGAACTTCTTCATTCGATCATAATTTCATTAATAATCAAATACATAACGATAGAATAATTAATGGATTTACAGCAAGCATCAAAAATTAATCTTTTTCAAATTGATTCAAAATTAATAACAAAGTATGATTTTTGACCTATACATTAGAAGGACATATGTAATAGAATACATTTGTTTAATAATATTAAGTGAATTTAAGTTATATTTTCGATATCTTAAAAAGCGTATAATTAAGGCTTGTTCATATGCCAAATACTACTACATGCAAATGTAATTAGATCATGAGTCTAAGAATATGATCAATCACATGGGAAAAAATATTCACCCTTATATTCAGACTCGACAAGGACGATTAGTAATCGATTTATGTATAACAGCAATACACATAAGCTATATAAGCCATTATTCATGTTTAGAAGATGAATTTTGATAATTTTACATTATTTTTTTGTGAACTACGGGTGGAAGTTCGGCGATCGAGTATACTACGAAAAACGGTAGGAAGAAATAAAGTAATGTACAATATAATTATGCATGAATAGCTTATTTATTATAAATAATAGAACATAAAAAGAGTATTTAGTTACAGTTAGGATATACATTTCTATAACTAAAAGCAATTAGATCAAACAAATAATGAACATGGATTAAAAAAATTATTCTATAGAGACAGTTCGATGTTCTGCCTGTGAAACAAGCAAAAATATCGATGGTATTTTGAATTTTGTTGGAGTTTTATCCTTCTGACTTCGATCGGGAGACGCTTGTAAATTTGAGGGTGGAGGCAGATTTGAATTTTCGATAATATTTTTAGGTGTATTATCAGTTTCATTGGATATTATAGGTTTTTCTGAGGGCGATTGAGCAATTAAAGAATCATGTTGCGGTAAATTTCCTGAAATCAACTGATGATATCGATAACGGCATTGCACATCGCTTCTTGATGGTATATCGTTCGAAACTTTCGTCCAACTTTTTATGCCATGCTTTGAAATACTTGCCAGTAATGCCGCATCCTCCTTAGGTGTCCAGTGCATTTTTGTTATGCGAGGGTCGAGACCTCGAGTCCACCTTTGGCAACATTGTGCTTTCGTTCTACTATTTCCGACGAAACAGGCTATTGTACCCCAAGAGTCCAGACCATATTTGTGAATGCCTGCAATAAGACGTATATCCTCTATCTCGCTCCATGAACGTGTTTTTTTCATTAAAAGAAAACTCTGGGCTTCGGCCGGATATTCTTTAATGCTTTTTAAGGGTTGTGGTGACACAGTTAGAATTCTTGTTACCTTTTGTAATGGAAGGCTTGTGCCAATATATTTCGTGTATTCTGCTGCAGCATTATATTGACTTATTTTTCCTTCAATATATCCATCTAAGATTGTTTGTAGGTACTGTAATACATTTGGTGCGACTTGCGGGCAAGTGTCGACAATATAACTCACCCCTATACTGAGTAGAGGCTTAAACGGTGGGTTCATTTTCTTTTAGAAATTTTCGACGAAGAAAAAATAATTAATTGTATGAAAATTTATCGTCGTATGTACCATCAATTTTTGTGATATTTTTATTTTTTGAAAGGTCCGTGAAAAAAATTATTTTTGTAGTTTCTTTCGGAAATTATCTAATGTCCAAAAATTTGTTGATCACAAATGTTTACAAAAAGTTGACTTCGCTAATTTACAAATGTTTACATGACAAAAATTACAAAACAATAAAATTTCCTATCAAGTTGAAAAATCTCCTCTGAATACCCTCGGATCTACCCGTTACGTTTTGAAGTCTGAAATTTAATGAAGATTAACCAGGAGTTGAAATTTGAGAAATCTTATTCGTTATTCAATTGATTTGATATAACATAGAATAAAGAGTTCCTCTGAATTATTAGCATTTCTTATTAAATTATAGTTAATTAATCTCAAATTCAAAAATTATCGAAGATAATCATGCATTTTACTCTTAGAAATTATAGGAGTATATATTTAAGAGCAATTATGATCTTTTTATGTTCTTTTTCGCGAAAAAAGAGACAGAAAATTTTAAATTATTTTCAATATTTTTATTAAAATTTACATTATAATATTACTTCTATAAAATCGTATAGTTTTATATCTCATCGTTCTCTTCATCAGTATTGGCAACAGAATCTTGTTCATCATCTTCGCCTTCTTCATTTTGAGCTTCATTTCCTTCTTCGTTTTCTTTATCATTTGTTGTTTGGACGGTTTGGATAGCGTTTGCTGGACCTAGGAAGAGTGAGAAGTTGATATGAGAGAATCCATGGTCATTCAAGAACCTTCTGCAATGAGATTCCATGTAGACTCTGAATTCTTCATACAAAGAATCGTCTTCAGAAACATCTTTTCTTGGAGCAAAAATGTTTGCGAAGTAGCGAAGAGTGTTGAACATTTCTCCAGGGCTCAACTTGAGCTTGAGAGGAGTCTTTGTGCTTTGCAATGACAAAGTAGACAAAGGTAATTGTACTGATTCGAATTCAGCTTCCATGAAACCTTTAGATTCCATGTGATTTGGATTGTTATCAATCACAAATTTCCTGAGAGATTGCAACAACAAATTCGCTGCCAAATGCCAATCAATTTGTTCATTGCAATGTGGGCATTTGAGATATTTGGATGGGAATGGAGATGCTGTGATTCTATTCTCACAGTATGGGCATGCGAAAGTCAATTCCGCGTTGTGAGGAATGACAACATTTGTCTGATATTCATTGTCATATGAAATAACAGATGGAGCAGAATATTTAACGCCAAGAGCCTTTGCAAGCATTCCTTTCTCCATTCCACCGAATGGTTCGCACAATCTCCAGACTGGATTGAAGATCTGGTTTGTGATGTACCATTCGATATCAGCATCACTAACTTCCTTGATGAGATCTTTGTAGACAGCCTTAGAAGCAATGTTTGTTCTTGCTTGTGTCCTTTCAGACATTGGCTCAGATCCTTCAAGTTCTTCACGTGGTGTGAAGTTGTCTTTTGCAATGATGTATTCGATTGTTGATCCAGGAGAAATCTCTTTCTTCATCTTGTCTTGCATGTATCTGGCGACAGCTGCGTGTGGAGAGTTGTCTTTGTATGTTTCTAATCTGTTCGTAAGCATCTTTGTGATGATCAAAAACTGTGGAATAACAGATTGTAATCTGACTTTTCTTTCAGCTTTCATGAGAACTTTCATGTCATTAGAAGTTTCGTATTCAACTTCTGATTTCTGGTCATCAGGAAGTTCTCCGTTGTTTCTTAACATCGCGGCAACTCTTTCCATTTCGTTTAAGATCTTTTCGATGGAATCATCCGAGTTTTCACCAAACATGAATGTGGAAATGACAAAATATGAAAGATAGCGTGTTAAGAAGCACCAATCTCTTCTGACCATATCCAAACCTTTGAGTTCTAAGTTGAGATTTCCATTTGGAAGTTGATCCAAAGCTGCGTATTTCTTCTTAGAAACCAAAAGCATCTTCTTGAACAAGTGATCTAAACCTAATTTCATGACAGCATCGCCATTCTTGCGCTGCTTCTTGAAATGAAGTTCGACTGCTTGGCAAATTCCCATGGCAACATTTCTTGCTCTTGTTTCATCTCTTGTCATGCAATCAACCATGACAGAGTCTGTATCACCATAAACAATTGAGAATTGGTTGGAATCTTCGTACTGGAAATGCTCGACAATGTCAATAACAGCTTGAAGAGCTTCTCTACCTTTCTTTGTAATTTCTTCAGCCAATTTAGTAGCAGGGAATCGAGATCCTTTGTAACCTAAGTAACCGTACATTGAGTTTGCCAAAATCTTGACGGCCAACTGTTTGATGTTCAATGATCTTAATTCTGTATCTAAATTGTCCAATTTCTTCTTGAGAGCTTCAAGATGATTCTTGTTTCCAACTGAATCTTCTCCAGCCTTGATCTTGTTCTCCAGTTCTTCAATCTGTTGAGTAACTTGGAACTGTGCATCTCCTTTTTCTTTCATGTCTTTCTTGACTTCACTTCTCTTGTTCAATAATTCAGCCATGATCTTTGGAAGGACAGCACTGTTTTGGTTTGGATTTGCAACCATTCTTGTTGTGAAACAGATGTTATACTGTCTGATAATTGATGGATAAAGAGAGTTGTAATCGAGAACTGTTACGTAATTCTCGTGGAAACCTCTTTTCGGATCCAAAACGTGGCCACCTTTATATTGTGCATCTTCTCTCTTTCCAGAAACTTTGACTTGTGATTTATCAGGAATAACGTAGCCTCTGTTGATGAACTCGTGAGCAAGCAATGCTTCTGATCTTGGGGATGCCTTTCCAAGCAAAACTCTCGACCACAATGCACCTGACAATTGAGAAATTTGTAAAGTCAAAGGAACGATATGGATTTTACGTGTCAAATTAATGATGTAAGCAGTGTTGTTTTCATTAGCAATTACGTACTTCTTGAGCATCGGAATGTTGAAGATCAACTGGGAGAAATTGGATGTCTCCAAATCAGGAACTAATATACCTAATTCCTGTTGAATAACAGAAGCGAAATCATTTGCCTTTGAATGCAAGAATTCATCAGCAGAAACTCTGATATCAACTGGCAAACGACCACTAAGAATAAGTAATGTGTTCTTGGAGAACTTAGTGATGTTATCTCTTGGGAATGATCTTTTCAGTCTTCCAATTCTGTACCAGTCCTTGACTTTGAGCTGGATCAATCTCTGAGCAATGATTTGGCCATCAAATGTATTAAATCCGAATGACAAAATCAAATCAATGTCAGAGTTTTGGATATCGGTGATGAACCTTTCCAACATGTCTTTCTCGTTGTTGAAAGGTGTTCCTGGGAGCTCTGAATTCTTAATGTTGCCAAGCATCCAGTAATAAGTTGCTTTGTGGCAATCATTTGATGATAACTTTGTAATGGCACATTTTGCGAAAACTCTCAAAGAAATCATTCTGATTACGTGTTCTTTCTTCGTGTTGTCGTATTCTGTTTTGACTGAGATGCATGCGAGGTTGAATTCTGGGATGTCGGTCTTATCAAGGATCTCAATCTCTGGCTCGTCTTTCTTGAATTCATCAGAAAGTTCGAAGTTTAATTGAGAAACAATTGAAACCAAATTTTGTGGATTTTCAACCCGTTTCTTGAATTTAATCCAGCAAGGTCCCATGATCTTGTAACGCATGATGAAGCATTCTGTAAGTGAGGAACTCCAGCCAAAGACTTTGTTGTAATGCTTTCCTATCATAGGAATCTTTGAAATGTCGTAATTACCTGGTAATTCGGCAGTAATCCATTGAGACATTTGTGAAATATCAGAATCACCAAATGCATATTTCAAATATTCTGGATATACAATTGCCTTTTGATGCAAACTTTGGATTTCAGATTTGCAGTCATCAATTTCGTTGAAAGTTGGAAGAAAATGAATGATACGACGTGGATTTGAGATAACTACGCAAACAGTTACCATCTTCTTTGATTTAGCGAAAGCTTTTCCGAAAAGATATAATTTTCCTGTATCTTCAACAATATTGAATAAATACATCTGGAAATTTTCATTATGGAATGACTCTGTTTGCATTTTACTTGTAATTGGTGTCTCTGCAATTTCAGGTAATGGATCTTCTTCTTGAACATCAGGAATATTGACTGGTTCTGCAGGTTTGATAACAGGTTTCCTGTCGCGTGGTTCTGTCTTTGGTCCACGCTTAACTTTTTCGACTGAAACTGTTTTTGGTTCTGTTTTCTGAGATTCAACTTTTTGTTTTTTAACTTCGGCAGCTGCAGCTTCCTTTTCTTGCTTAATAGCTTGTTCTTTGCTTTTTGCAGATAATTTAGCTGCAAATCCTTCCGAAATTGATTTCTTTTTATCACTAGAAGAAGATGTAGATTTTGATGGCTTAGATGCTGTTGTAGATGTTGTAGTCATGAACTCTTGGAATAACTTATCGGCAATATCTGTATTTTTGCTTGATTTTGGAGTAGATTTTTTCTTTGTTTTTCCTAAAAGATCTGTAATTGATTTTTGACCCTCTTCAAGTGGTTGTTCTGGTTTCTTTGGCTGTTTTGGTTTGTTAACTTTGAATTCGTCTTCGTATGTACCATCAGCAATGAAACCATCGTCAGATAAGCTATCATATGAGCCTTCATCTCCTTCATCGTCTGAAGATGATGAGCTCAATGATGCTTCTTTTTCCATTAACTCTTGAACGGCACTCTTCTCATCTTTCTGACGAGATGAACGCCTACTCATGTTTTTTTGTTATTTTCTAAACGTCATTTTTGTTTCTCAAAAAATTGTCACTTGATATAGTAGCCAAGAAATAAGGTATAGATATCTTTATCTGATTCCTTTTATGTTAGAAATGCAATGTATTCTTCACCCATGTTTCAAAATTCTTCTAATGAATATTCGTTACGAAAGTCACATTTGTTTCGAACAATAATAAGTTTAGCATCATATCGGTCTTATTTATCAGAAATCTAGGTAAATTGTGTCTTAGTATTTTCAATCCTGAGTAATTTTATAGTAATATAAGTATTGTTATTGCTGAATTTATCTAAAAATTTTATTCAGAAAACAAAATTTAATCAATTCTGCAAACATAAGTAATATTTTTAGTAACTCTCAATAGTATCATCGTACTGAGGTCTCTTTTCAAGTTGGAATTCGGTCACAAGATATAAATCTCTAGGATTCTTCAGCCCTTCTGTTGGTTTTTCTTCTTCTTGGACTTTGATAGAGCTTATAAGGACTTGATCGATATTTTTTTCGGGAATTATTTCTGGTGGAGGAACAAATGGATCTTGCGTTATGTTTTGCTGTGGCTGTCCGAATGAAATTAAATCATGAGTACTTGAAAACGGATTAAATGAGTTCTTGAGTGATCTATCATTAGACATTGACTTAAGATCGAATGAAAGTTCTTCATCATCTTCTTCTTCAGGTTCTTTTGGTGCTACAACTCCATCCTTAGAAGATTGAGGTGATTTTGGCGGTTCAGGAAGCTGAGAAGCTTTAGTACATGATTCTACTGTGGGGAGTTTAGTTGAGTAAACAATATGGTGATATATAGCTTGTATCATGTAATGTATTTGTTCACGATAAATATCTGCTGGATCTCCAAAGTTTAAGAACAAAATGGATCGAATTTCTTTAGAAAATGTTTTTGCTGCTTCGACGAATTCATATCTGTTTTGATGCAAGCCATTCATTAAAATGACAAGAAGTTTAAAAACAGGTAGAGAATGTGATGCATTTTCATCAATTAACATCAAAATTGTAGCGACAACGATGTATGAATCACGAACAGAAACTACTGTATCTAAAATTTTTCTATTTTCGTCTGGTGTTACAATAAATGTTTTTCCTGCAGCAATTTTCCTCAACTCGGATCGAAGGGATGCATTATAAAGATTGGGAATGCCGAAAGGGGCTTTTTCGCTAAACATTCAATTGAATTGGCAAAAAAAAGTTGGGATGATAGTATAAAATCGATACAAAATATAAAAGGCTAAATTTTAAGCAGATACAATAAATACACAGATGAATATTTTTTCCCCACAATATTTTTCAAATGATTATTTCCGAGCGAAACAACAATAAAAAAAAACCTCATTGTTGAAATTGAAGCATTCGAACGATAATAAACAAAGACATGATTTAGATATTAATAATATAGACATAATATCGAACGTGGCAGTAAGAATTTTCAAGCATTTAAAATATAAGGCTTCGAAAAGATCTTACTATCAATTATTATTAGATCAGATGGGCTTATCTGTGTTAGATAAACGGCATGCCCAAAATATATTCTTTTATAGTTATCACAATTAGAAGTAAACTTCGTCTAGATTCTATTGCTTCTCTTATTCTCATTTGGCCTTGGATTCTATGGGACCTGCAAATCTACCTATTGCTTCATAACTTTCAAGCATGAATACTGTTTTATACTTTTCCTTAATCTGCTGTTTGAGATCATCTGTCGGTGCTGTTTGATATTTGCTGCATAAATTTACAAAATCTGGGTATAAATTTTGATCGATACTATCGAAAAGTTGAATGAAAGTTTTATATTTCTGTCTTTTGCGTTTTAAATCTAATTGAGGAGGAAGTGTGACTACAGAATTGTAATTATCAACTTTGATCTTTTCTGGATCAAAATCGTAACTTTCGCCAACTTGAAGGAACATGTCGAGTAATGGCTTAAAAATCTGATGAATATCTAGGCAACAACTACCCATATTGTCGCGATGAGAGATAAGTTTTGATAAAGTCCATGTTTGCATAAATGACACTTTTTTTAACCAAAGAATTCCAAAATAAATTATCCATCAAATTTTGATATTTTTTCCATCAATACTCTGTGATGGAACTATATGATTCTATTTTAGATATTGGCAAACAATTTTTTTTCTTTCAATTTTGAATTGCAAATGTTATAGACCGAAAATAGATTTTTTCGGTTTTCTCTTCAAATAATTGAAAGAATGATACTATTATAGGTTTATTATATTATATAGCATATAATCATGCTATAGCCGAAAATTATAAGTTTTGAGAAGATTGAATATAACACAAATAAATTTGAAAGTAAGTTAAATTGCTTGTTGTTTTTAATAGCTATTTAATGAGAAATCCAATATTGCAAAATTCAAATTGAATGATTGAAAGAACAGAAAAAGTCATTCTTTTCAATTTCGAATATGTTTCATTGTATTTATAATTATATGGCAAATAAGATATTTAAACTTGATTTTTGAAGGAAAATTCACAAAATTGAATAAATTCAAATAATTATTTTCTAGACATAAAGAAGTTGTTTACCGAGTTTTAGCTCTTATCTCTAACAAAAAATTAATTTTTAAAAAAATGACCGAATACGTTTCACAGCGAGAAAAAAATAAAAGGCAAGATAGAATTTTCTAGACATAAAGAAGTTGTTTACCGAGTTTTAGCTCTTATCTCTAACAAAAAATTAATTTTTAAAAAAATGACCGAATACGTTTCACAGCGAGAAAAAAATAAAAGGCAAGATAGAATTTTCTAGACATAAAGAAGTTGTTTACCGAGTTTTAGCTCTTATCTCTAACAAAAAATTAATTTTTAAAAAAATGACCGAATACGTTTCACAGCGAGAAAAAAATAAAAGGCAAGATAGAATTTTCTAGACATAAAGAAGTTGTTTACCGAGTTTTAGCTCTTATCTCTAACAAAAAATTAATTTTTAAAAAAATGACCGAATACGTTTCACAGCGAGAAAAAATAAAACTGTACACTGATTTTAATTTTCATTTCCAGTCACTTTACTTATTATTTTTTCTTTTTTTCATTTTAATTATAAATTATTTCATAATACGTTTATTTACGTTACCATTTTCTTTATTCTTTTGAATTCCATACTAGACACTTATAGAATATTTTGATTGTTAACGTACTTCATTAGAATGAATCCTTACAAAGGGTATGTCGATCGAATTTACCTAATTGGTATTTCCAATCAGATTGAAGAAGGTAAAATGACATGGGAAGAAGCTTGCACCCATGTTCCCATCGCCCCAACCCTTCAATCAAATGATTTCAAATATTTAGATGTTTCAAAATCTTTTTTACAAAATCAATTTAGCTTCCAGAATATCCCATTGCCTAAAGGCAAGAAAGGTCGTAGGGTCAATCCCTACGACCAAATCAAAGCTCTTGCTGTGATACATGACCACTGGGCCTTTCCCTGTGGTCAAACAAAACAATGGAAACGTTTGAAATTACAACAAATTGATGTATCTTATAGAGAAGTACACAGAAGTTAGTATGGTTATCTTGGGTATGGTGGCACTGCGTTCCACTTTACCCAATACTTGTGAATTTGACACTTTACAAAACCGTTAACGTATATTTTACAACACGAACGCAAAAACTAACTTAACCTTAAATATTTACAAAGCCGCCAACCACTTCACTAACGAACTCACTAATGTAAAAATAAACGTTCTCACTATCGTTCTCACTAACAACTTCACTAATGTTCTCATAAATTTTCCTCAATATCTTCATCATCAGTGTTAACCCTATTGTAGTCATACTTGAAGCCATAAACTTTCTCTAACTTCTTAACGTACAATTTACATAACTTACCTTCGTCATCGTATGGTTTAATGATATAACTATTTCTATCTTTATACACAGTCAATGAAAAGTCAACTGGTCTCGGATGTATTTGAAAGAACATGTTATGCTCAGGAAGGAAGAATAAATGTTTAAATGTATGTTTGTTATACTGTGGAATTCGAATGAGTTGCTTTTGTTCTGTCATTTACATCCAAAATAAAATAAAAAATAAACTTAAAATTAATGATATCACCACCCTCACACGTATGAAAACATAGCACAAAAATAAATTTAGGTGAAGAGGTGACATCTCACCTCTTTTTTCACCTCTTTTTTCACCCACTTGAATTCATTACTTTATAACTCTCTTCCTTTCTCCAACTCTTCTAACTTCTTCTTAAGTTCAGCAATGTTGTCCTCATGAAGTTTAATCTTCCTTAATATACCTTCTCTATCTAATGGTTGCTTTATCTTTCTAAACTGAACTCTACCATCCTTCATAGTATGAACGTAAAAACCTTCTGGAACCGCTCCTGATTTAATGTATTCTACCAAAAACTTTTGTTTCATTGCTTCAGTGACTTTAGTCGTCATTTCAATCAAATAAAAATTTTAATATTAAATAAAAATAACGTTATTTTTTCAGTAAGGAAACGCAGGAGTTTTACGATTTATTTGAGGCGTGGGTTCTGGTTTAAATGTTGGAGTCGGTTTAGGAGTTGACTTTTGAACAGGAGTTTGTACTTCCATAGGTTCAGGAGTCATTGAAGGTTTTGCTTGTGAAGGTGTTGGAGTTTGTTTAACTTCAGCTACTTCAGTATTATTTACAACATTTGCTTTATTTCTTTTCAACATCATAACTGCTCCTGCTGTAGCTAGCAAACCTAGTGGGAGACCATATCTTATATAAGGACTTGACCAAATGCTATTTTTGACAGGAGCTGGTGGAACACCTAACCTTGGTGAAACTGCTCTTTGCCATTGTGCAGCTCGTAAGAAATATTCAATAGGTGCTCCATAATCGTTTGGTAAAGTTTGTTTCATAGATGGTGAAGGTTCGCGAGAGCTTGAGAAGAACTCATTTATAAGCTTTAAAAATAAATGTTCATCCTTTATTCCTCACTGTCGTCTGTGGCTAAGTTATAGTCATCTAATCTTATTATTGGGATTCCATTAGCACGCACCTGAATGGCAAAGCAACAATCCCTCATAAATCCAATAAGTGGCTTTGTATATTTTCAGTTGCTAGTTCAATAGGTCCTTTAACAGACAATTTGTATGTTATTGGAGCAGTAGATGTTTGACCTTGCTGGAAGCAAAAGTCCACTTCTGTTGGAAAACCACATAAGAAATGTGTGTTGTCATAGCTATCCCATTTATGTTCCACACTACCATCATCCACCAATGACCTCATAACATCTTCATTAAATCCAATCATATCATTGTTTGTATTGCAGGCGTTCGCAACCATTTCATAAAATACAGGTCCATATGATTTTTCAGGTTCTGCAGGTATATTTCCATAAGCTCCCATGGAAAGCTGAAGATATAAACTTAGGGTTCTCAAAATTAACATAATAGTTGTCTTTCTTTCTAAATAGTGCCCAAATACTTTTAACATTAATAGGCGTATAAGCTGCTGTAAATGTTGCACTTGAACTATCTGTATTCTTTGAGAATGAACCGTCCATAGGAATCCAATCCATAACTTTAACAGGAAAACATAAAGCCTCGTTTGTATAATGTTCTACAAGTTCTGTATAAATGTTAGGGTCTAAAGAGAATGACTTTGGATGAATGAAACATTCATTAAAATCCATCTTTGTTCGAAATAGTTGCTGGTTTACAGTTGTAATAGTAACTGTTCCACTAGCTTCTACTGCCTTCGTTATCATAGTGAATGGTTCATTCCATGGAACAAATTTATTTGTCGGTGGATTTGAATCTGAAGCAAATGCAACTTTAAGAGTTGGATTGAAAGCAATGATATCATTTACAGATATAGATGTGCATTGTAAGGCGTCGCTACTGAACTTTACTTTAAGCTGAATGTTTCCTGCAAAAGCTGGAATAAATCGAATAGCTTCTAATGGAAGGAATCTTCTAACAGGAATTCTTAAACGAAGCTTAAAAATCAAATGATTTTCCTGCTGTAATTGGACCACTAACAATTTGTCCTGTTCTGCATGTTCCCGAATGACTCCATACATCTTCATGTCGAGTCTTTGAGAAAACATCTACTTTCTTTATTTGTTCGGTAGTTTGTGAGTTTGAAGTTATATATGCTTCTTCTCTTGCGTTGTCTTGAGAATATACGATACGACCATTTGCAAGGATTTGATATCCA